GGCCGAATATTTTTCATTAAAGTCCGAAAAAGACATTGTAGCTGAGTACAAAACTTGTCATGCAGACGTTTGTGCCAATATCGGATCAATATCGGTATCGGCCGATACTGAAGGCTCCTGTGTTGGTATTATATAGGAGGTAAAAAAGTTGTATCGGGACACTGATGTTTAAAACAGCTTTATAGTGTTTGAGTCCGGGATGAGGATGGGGACTAAAACCTGGTTCTGATACAGAAGATCTACCACGCCAGTTTTTACCGCTTGTCTCCACATTTAACTCGTACCAGCGTCCAAAAAACCCCTAATTTAATCACTATTCGGCGTCCGCCTGAACCGTTAAATCTCGGCTCCTTTCCCACTGATAGAACGTCACAAACGGCTCATGGGTGTTACTTATTACACAGCTGTACACAAAACAACCCAAATAGCTGTTAACACCCACTCCACCTCCTCCTCATACATTCACTCATATTATATTTGCCTCAAGTTCCAGTTCCAGCTCAGACAGAACGTCTGAAGCTTTGGACCGAGTCTTGGGACAGCCGTAGTTTGGATGTCGGAGCGATCCGTGATGAAGCAGGTTTGACGAATAAATCCGCTGATTAGCAGGAGAATCAGAATTTGGTGGAGCTGCTGTTGAGGGTTTAGAGGAGGATTGGTCAGGGTGCTGCCAGGACCGGGTCTCTCTGAGGGATTAAACCGCAGTACCCCCCCCTCGTTCATCCCCTCTCTTTCTCTCCATCCTCGCTCGCTCAGCTCAGCTCTGGCGTCTCCTCTACTGTAAATGAGAAACGGAGTTATTTACGGCCTCACACCAGCTGCTCGCTTTTCTTTGCAAATGAGCTCATCAGCACTGGAGCAGCTGTGTTACTGTTGTCAGTCCTCCCAGCTCTCAATCTTCTTCTCTTTTCTCTTTTCCAGTTCGAGAGGAACGACCCCACCAACGGCCGCATCTCAGAGAGGCAGTTCGGCGGCATGCTGCTGGCCTACAGCGGCGTCCAGTCCCGCAAACTCAAGCAGATGCAGAAAGGCCTGAAGAAGATGTTCAAGGATGCACAGGTGAGTGTCTGACCTAATTGGCCCGTATGTGGAGATGGCGGACAGACGGTGAGAGCCTGAGGGAGAGGAGATTATTCTGGAACACTGAGATAATACATCGGTGTGAGAGAGAGGACGGCACATTCAGACCTGACCGACACTCACTCTCCCAGACTCCTTTATCTCCGTTTGAAGGGACCGAATCCAGAACAGTCAGAGCCCAGAGGACGCCAGACACGTCTCCTAGTCCCTTCTTTGTTTCCTTTGAAGCCCTCTCCTTTCCCGCTCCACTTCCTCATTGATCTACTCGATCATCGACTCTTTAAACTCTCCAATTTACCTCAAACCACGAAGAGTAACGCCACGTTTTTTCAGAAGAGTTTAGACTTCGTTTTTCCTCGACCACAGACACGAACGCAGTCACCTGTCAGAGTAAAAGAGCCTGAAGATGATTCCTCTGGATTTCTGTTTTAAGACTGTTATCATCACATCTCAGCTGCGTCTCACTTCTCTAAAGCTGCATCCTTGCATCCTTCACTTGCGCCCTTTCCTCAATGGAGTTTTAAGGAAATGAGTGTAGGAGACAAGGAAGCAGAAATGAGAGATGTGATGATAGCATCAGCTGATCACCGCCGGACGCTGGTTAAAGATCCTTCTCACTCACTGAGAAAAAAAACAGAATTTGTACATACAGTAGAAATTCCCTCACTACTCTTTAAAACTGAGGATGCAGCATCTAGGATTTCCAGTTCTTCGTTGAAAACGTCTCAAGTATGTCCAGTTGTCCTTTCCATGCGGTTGATGTCGGCCGAGTATTTTTCATTAAAGTCCGAAAAAGATATTGCAGCTGAGTACAAAACTTGTCATGCAGACGTTTGTGCCAATATCGGATCAATATCAGTATCGGGACACTGATATTTAAAACAGCTTTATAGTGTTTGAGTCAGAGATCAGGATGGGGACTAAAACCTGGTTCTGATACAGAAGATCTACCACGCCAGTTTTTACCGCTTGTCTCCACATTTAACTCGCACCAGCGTCCAAAAAAACCCCTAATTTCATCACTATTCAGCGTCCGCCTGAATCTTTAAATCTCGGCTCCTTTCCCACTGATTTAACGTCACAAACGGCTCATGGGTGTTACTTTTTACACAGCTGTACAAAAAACAACCCAAATAGCCGTTAACACCCACTCTCACTCCTCCTCATACTTTCACTCATATTATATTTGCTGCAGTTATAATAATCTGCCTCCAGCTTGAAGCCTCAAGTTCCAGTTCCGGCTCAGACAGAACGTCTGAAGCTCTGGACCGAGTCTTGGACACGAATCTCAGGACAGCCGTAGTTTGGATGTCGGAGCGATCCGTGATGAAGCAGGTTTGACGCTGAAATCCGCTGATTAGCAGGAGAATCAGAATTTGGTGGAGCTGCGGGTTTAGAGGAGGATTGGTCAGGGTGCTGCCAGGACCGGGTCTCTCTGAGGGATTAAACCGCAGTACCCCCCCCTCTCTTTCTCTCCATCCTCGCTCGCTCCGCTCAGCTCTGGCGTCTCCTCTACTGTAAATGAGAAACGGAGTTATTTACGGCCTCACACCAGCTGCTCGCTTTTCTTTGCAAATGAGCTCATCAGCACTGGAGCAGCTGTGTCTCTTTATGTGTGTACATGTGCATATGTGTGTGTGTGTGTGTATTTGTGTTCGGCCCAAAGTGGCGTCGTGGTTGTCATGAAAGATGTTGGGCTGATTTTTCAGCGGACGGCGGCGGCTGCGGCGGCGCTCCGATCGCTCAGGCGAAGGATTGGTCGGTGATCCGTCAAAGTTTTTTTAATCTTTGTCACTTTTTTCTCCTGCAGGGAATCACATTCGAGGAGGTGGAGAACTTTTTCACCTTCCTGAAGAACGTGAACGACGTGGACACGGCGCTGAGTTTCTACCACATGGCCGGAGCGTCCATCGATAAAGGTACTCCCTCCGTTCGCCCTTTCTCTCTCTCTCCCTCTTAGACTCGACCGTTGTCACGTTCACGCTCCGTCTCTCAGAGTCGTTAACGCTCAGCTGATCTGCTTTTTTCCTGATTCAGCCGTTCGTCATCTGCTCGTCTGTCCGCTCGTGTTTCTCCTCTTCCTCCAGGCCTGTCAGAGGGCATGGACACATGGACACATGAACACATGAACACATGAACACATGACAGAGTATCTCTCATGGACACTGCAGTGTTGTAATGTCTAGTGACACATGCAGACATCATGACTGCAGGAGGAGGAGCTGACCGGGAGCTGCATGGATGCTCTTCTGAAGTTCCTGCATGCATGAACGCTTGTGCACTAAAGGGTTAAATCAGATTTTCAAAGCTCTCTAAAGCGAGAAGATAAAATGGCGTCCTTCTGAGAGTTACGTCTCCTTTTGTTGAAACAGAGAAGATAACAGATAAATGTACTTTAGTGATCCTGAACCTGGAAACTGTGAAAGAATGAAGCTCAAAAATACAACAGAAGGTTCTGAGAACGTGGAGGAGGACAAGACCAGGAGGTTTGGACCAGCAAAATGGGAAACCTGAAAGTTGTTTCTCCAAAAACCAAAAAGGTGCAAACGAGACATCTAAAGAGAGCGTAACCGCACAAACACCCAACAATGATCCTTCTGTTTCAAGCTGCAAAAAGCTCCAGAGTTACGTTTCATCCTGCACCTTCAACCACCTTCAACGTTTCTCAATTTAACCAGGAAAGAAGAGAAGAGAGAAGAAACAGAGAAGGTGTGTTAACCCGCTCAAAAACAAGACAGACATGAGAGAGAAAACAAACGATCGATTGATTTCTGTAAAAGGTTCATGAATCGAAGACGATGATGATGATGGAAAAAAGCGTGAAGACGACAAATCTGGTGGTTTTATCTTCTGTAAACGTCAGTGAATCCAGGAGACGAGTCAGAACCGCATCAGTCCAGGACTCTTCTCCTACAGAGCCATGCTGTTGTCAGGATGTGGTTTGGGATCCTCTGAAGGTCTTCTCTGATTGTCTGGATGGATGCAGATGTTGCTCCTAAACCTGGAGATGTTGAAAAACTGAGGATGCAGCATCTATGATTTCTAGTTCTTCGTTGAAAGGAAAACTGGACTGACTTGAGAGGCGAAAAGTCTCAAGTAAGTCCAGTTGTCCTTTCCAAAAAGAGTGTTAGATTTTGATCCATCAGACCTCAGAGGAGTTCGCGGAGTAGTGATATTAAGCTCATGCGGTGACTCCAACTACAGAGTCCTGATTCTCCTAAACCTGGAGATATCGTTCAGCATTAATGGAGCCTTCAAAGATGTGGAAGATATCCAGGACATGGACTCTGATGATCCGCAGAGAAACAGAAAGAAGTCGGTGTAAATTGACACGTTAACTTGAATGGTTACGATCGGAGGATACGACCTTTTAGGAGACGATCAGGATGAAGGTGGAGGTTGAGGGTTGGGCGAAACGTCTCAAGTCAGTCCAGAGTCCTGTCTGATTTTGATGCACCTGAAGATCAGGACCATCCCTTCCTGGTTTTGGTCTTTGTCTCTTAAGTGCAGAGGTTTCTCTGTTGTAATGAGTCTGTTGTCAGTTTTCTAACTCTGTGATGATTGGACGGATTAAACGCGTTTGTTGTTCGTTGTAACCCTGGAGTTTGTACGAAGACAGACTCTGAAGACTTTGTGTGTTTAAAGCGTCTCCATCAGAAGGATGTAATTACTGAGTGTAAATGAAGAGGAGGATCATTAATGAGTTTAATTTGATGAAAATCTGACGGATTAAGACTCAAAAATGTCCGACTGTCGCTGCAGAGTGCATCTGTGATGATAACTGAAGAAGAAGTCCAATTAGGGAGCGTCGAATCGCTCGTTAATCCGTCTGTATTTTCTTTATCTCCATGAACACGATGAGGGTCGGCTCTGGCAGAGACGACCTGTAGCTTTTACGATACGGCGACTGTTTGATGAGTCAATCGTCTCTTCGTTTATTGTCGGGGCTTCAGCCTCCAATCGGCCTCCATATGTTGGCTGTCAGCTCGTCCATTAGTTCTGATTCACTGAGGAAACAGCTGCTGCTTTAAGGGGGGGGGGGTGTTTGTTTCCAGAGTCTGGTCTCTGCTGCACGGCAACAAGCCGAGCGTGCCGGAGCGTCGCTGTGAGTCTGAGAGTTTGGCGGCGGTGGCGTGAAGATCCTCCGGGCGTGTTTCTGCAAATGATGTCCAGTCAGAGTCAGAGCGCCGTCCTGCAGGAGCTCCTCTCAGATCTTTGTTTTGGTCTCAGCGGACTCGTAAATGTGGCGTTTTCACGGCCTTTTAGGAGACGGCGTGTTATCAGTGAAGAGAGGGAGAAAAACTTTAATTAGATTCACGCCGGAGTGACTCGGCGTTTCTCTTTAACTCTCCTGTTTCAGTTTTCTCTGTTTCTCTTCTCTGAAGTCTGATAATCAATATTTCTGATTAATATCTCCGACTTTTTCATCTTCTGTCTGTTTTTCTGAAATTACTTCACTCTCTGTCGTCTCATTTTCTCAGTCCCTCTCGTCCTCCGTCTATTTCCCATCGCTCTCAGCTGGACGTCCTAAAACCTCTCTCTCTCTCTCTCTCTCCCTCTCTCTCTCTCTCTCTCTCTCTCTCTCTCTCTCTCTCTCTCTCTCTCTCTCTCTCTCTCTCTCTCTCTCTCTCTCTCTCTCTCTCTCTCTTCTATCAGATACTCTCTCACTATCGATTCGGCTCTCTCACACGCTGTCCTCCACTTTGGGTCTTTTACGAGCTCCTCTCTCTGCTCCTCTCTCTTCTCTCGCTCTGTTTCTCAGACGCTGACTCTCTCTCTCTCTCTCTCTCTGCTCCTCTCTCTGCTCCTCTCTCTTCTCTCGCTCTGTTTCTCAGACGCTGACTCTCTCTCTCTCTCTCTCTGCTCCTCTCTCTGCTCCTCGCTCCGTTCCTCGCTCTTCTCTCGCTCTGTTTCTCAGACGCTGACTCTCTCTCTCTCTCTCTCTCTTCGTCTTTCAGTGACCATGAAGCAGGTTGCTCGCACCGTGGCCAAAGTGGAGCTGTCGGATCACGTGTGTGACGTGGTTTTCGCTCTGTTCGACTGCGACGGTAAGAACCCGGTCCTCTGATACTCATGTTGACTGTATGTGAGACGTGAAGTCGTGATGGAGAGACGAACCGTCAGCAGGTGAAGAATCAGAGCTCAGATCAGAGACGATGTTCGATCACCTTAAAGACGGCTCGTCCGTACTTTTACAAACTTTCTAAAACTTCAGCTGCTGCAAGAATCCAGACCAGGACCAGAGAGAGTCCACGTTAGAGTTCTGGGTCCCTCTGTCTCTCAGAAAACTGGTTTACAAAGGTCTCGATGGTCCAACAGATTAGTTTTTAAACGACGGTCTGAGGTTTGAGGAGAGTTTAGATGATCTTTAATGAAATCTGATTTTTGTGTTTTATCAGGTTTTTAGATCAATTTTGGTTCATAAAGATCAGGATCTAACAGACTTTGATCTTCCTCCTCCCCCCCTCTTCATTACCTCCCCCTGTCCGTCACTCCCGCCCCCTGTCCCCCCCGTCTCCACTCTCCCTCAGGGAACGGCGAGCTCAGTAATAAGGAGTTCATCGCCATCATGAAGCAGCGGCTGATGCGCGGTCTGGAGAAACCCAAAGACATGGGCTTCACTCGGCTGATCCGCGCCATGTGGAAGTGCGCCCAGGACACGGCCTGGGACTTCGCCTCGCCGAAGACACAATAAAGACGGGGGGAGAAGGGGAGGGCGGCGGCGTGTGAACTCTTGTAAAGACGTTACAGTCGTCAGGACGCCAGTTCTGACGGACTCCTCTATAACCGACGCATGCTGCTGTAGTTCCATCTGTCCACGTTTAGAGACTGACGCATGCTGACGCAGCACTCTGACAGCCCACCTGTGTGAGGCATCATGGGTAATTGTACATTTGAAAACACGCCTTTTACTTTCAGAGGGATGCAGCTTCAGCGGGCGACGGTGATCCTCCACCGAACCTTCGAACCGCCACGTCTCTGTGTTTGCATGTTTGACCTTCAGCTCATCACGCCGCAGCGCGTCTGCTCCGCTCCACACCTGGGACTCTGCGCGCCTGAGCAGCATGTTTGTCTCTTATTCTCGCACATATGTGGACGGGTCAGAACCGGCTGGAAGAGCTGCAGATTCTGCAGAATCAGAGGTTTCCAACGCAGCTGCGAGCCGACCTCAGCAAAAACAGGATTTAACTTTAACATAACGGCGATTTTCAGACTGTTGGTTCAGAAATCAGCTGGAGTCATGATGTTTGTGGGCGGGGCTCTGACTTCTCTTTGTTAAATTGACCAATCATGAATCAGCTCTAGAACAACAGTAGGAACACCTGAGCGTTCATCAGCGCCACTTTAACGTTTAACGCCAGATACCAGCGCTCAGACCCCCTGATGGTTTCCTGTCCTGGTCCTACTTAGATCTATCCTAGAGCAGTGGTTCTCAACTGGTGGGTCCCGGCCTAAAAGTGGGTCAAACAGAACAGCAGGTCAAAAAAGTCAATATTTAATCCAATATTTATCAGATATTCGATATTTTCTGTATCAGCAACTTCAGTAGTCGTCGTCCTCATCGTGTCCCCTTCATGTGCTCTGAATTTTCTTGGTTTGAATTCTATAAAAGTGGGTCGTGATTTAAGGACCGTGGAAAAATGTGGGTCCCAGAGTGAGACCAGTTGAGAACCACTGTCCTAGGGGTCCCAGGGGCCGGGGCACCCCTACATAAACCCTGACCCACCCTGATTCTCTCAGCGGCTCTGTGACCTCCTCCTCCTTCAGTTTCTTTTCTCATTTTGAACTCGAGTCTTGATCTCGAACCCGGGCTCTGCTCCTGGACATGAATAAAGTCAACATTTAACCCACAGACGTTTCTAAAGGAGGTGAATTTAGCTCCACTCTCCTGATGTTGAAAAATAAACAATATAAACTAAGAAGGAGTTCTCTTAGAGCCGTTCATCGCTCCATCTGAGAAGTTGGCGTTCTTCCCCTGAGAACCTTCAGATCACAGCTGATGGGTTCAAAGACCCCCGTCACGTCGGGGCGGGGTCCTCTGCAGCTTCACCTCCTCTCCCGTCTCGATGTTGTGATGATGTCGGCTCGGTCTGAAAGCTCCAGCTGCATCTTTCTCTCCATTATTTCGCCCTTTAAGACGATCAATGATGCTCGCCTCGCTCCGCTCTGAGTGTGCGTCTCCTAATTGTTATTCTAACTCACTGAAACACTTTATAGAAGACGGATGGGAAAAAGAAACGCTCTATTAAAGATGTTTTTAATAATATCAGACCTGATTACGCTCCCTTTGTGCTCTTCTGCTTGACTCGTGCGTCTGATTGTTGTGCTGCCATGTTCTGGTTTTCTCCCTCTGACTCTGACAAAAGCAGGATTAGCAGCACTAATCTACGGGCCACCGACGCGCTCGTTTGTCATGTGTAATGAAATCTGGAGGAAGCTGTTGTGGAGGGGCGCCTCTGTTTCTCTGATTGTATGCAGCGAGTTTGAGTTCGTGCCAGAAGAAGGAAGAAGAAGACGGTAATGCGAGAGCGCGTGCAGGACCAGTCAGCAGTTTAGTCTAATTGAAATGGACAGGAGAGGCGGTCCTGCTCGCCGGCGCCCATTAAAAGATTGTCCTGCGGCGGCTCCTGCGTACACACTCTGAGCCTCTGGGCCGGTCCGCCTCCTGGTTCTGGCTGAGACTGACGGGCTGAAGTGGTGCTCAGGAGTGATTGCAGAACAGGAGATTGGGGGTTGAAGGGTCTCTCATCAGTATTCCTCATCTGGAGTCTGGAGGTTTAATCACAGAGAACGTAAAATGATGTTAAACTCGACGTCCTGAAGAAAACCTCCGCCACGTCTGATCTTCATCAACCTTAAACTTCAGGTGATGAACATCTGACACCTAAATATCTATATTTGTTCACAAGAGCTCTTCATCAAGAGTGGAGATGAGGAGGAGGAGGATTTTACACCTTTAAAAAACACAAATTTACAAAATGATTCAACATAAAAAAAAACGTGTTCAACTTTACTGAGAAACAGTTTCATGATAATAATCGTTCATTTCTAATCATGTGGGAATTTAGGATTTCTCCACATCACCTGCTACAACAACGTCCTCAAACACGTGCCACTTAAAATAACCGTCATGCTTTTATTTTGAAATGAGCTAGCTTTGTATTGAGCTGCTGTATTTGCTGCACTCTAAAGCTATGCTTTTATTTTGAAATATACCACATGCAGTTAAGGAGAAAATGATAAGGTTTAAATCTTCAGTCGGTCAGTGAAGAAAAATCTTTATATGTCAGTTTTTAAAAGTGCTGAGTCATCTCTCCGACGGCTGCTAAAGCTAGCTGGTTAGCATCTTAGCATGAACTTTTTGTCAACATCTAGAGCTATTTTATACCCAAATATTACAAAAATAAATAAATTGAAGACACACCACGAAGAGTTAAACTCATGACTCCAGAGTCTTTGAGAACACGGCCTCATAAAACATTTTTTATCATTCTTTTATTTTGAAACTTTAGAGGCTTGTGTTAAGTTGATCTGGGAAACTGCTCTTATTTTGAAATGCAGACTTTTTGGTTGATCTTAAGTTCCTGAACAGGTGACCAGAGGAGGCAGCAGCTCTGATAAAAATATTTGAGCGTCAGTTTTTAAAGTTTTTATCGTCACAGAACCGAAAATATGAACATCGTCAGAAACAGATGATTAAATTTAAGGTTTAAATTTAAACTCCAATCTTGATTTTTCTCAATTTGACTCATAATTTTGTTTTATTTTCATGTTTTCCAGAAATATCGTGATAAGCTCGTGACTGTGACGTTCTCTGATCACGATAAATTTCAGGTGAAAATCTGATTTGGTGACAGAGTGAAGATATGAGCTCACAGATCTACCTCTCTGTAGTTTTTATGAATGTGGGCCTCTTTAAATTGATCCCCTTTACATTTATAACTGCAGACCCTCACAGCAGCAGCAGCAGCAGCTGTTGTCGGTGGAGGAGGTTTTGTGAGTCCTCCTGACATGATGTAAAAACCTCCACAGCTGCTTCAAATCTCTGCAGACGAACCTCCTCCTCCTCCTTCTTCTCCACGGTGTCTGAGCTGCAGCCTCTTCTTCTCAGCAGCTTCGCTCCATCAGGTTTCCCCGCTCGCTGATCAGCCAAGCGTCGCTCCACGGTTAAGTGCTGTCAGACTCAGGGTGGGGGGGTGGAGCTGGAGTGACTGCAGACCTCCTGAAAGTCTGCAGCTCTCAACCCGCCGGTACAAACATGGAAACATCTCCACAGTCGCCGCACGGACATTTGTTTCTCATGGAGCGTGACTCGGCTGACTGCAGCCTGAGGAGGCGCCACTATTGCATATAATATTACTATAATTTACATGTTATAATATTAATATAATTAACATGTTATAATATTACTATAATTAACATGTTATAATATTAATATAATTTACATGTTATAATGTTATTATAATTAACATGTTATAATATTAATATAATTTACATGTTATAATGTTATTATAATTAACATGTTATAATATTACTATAATTAACACGTTATAATATTACTATAATTAACATGTTATAATATTACTATAATTAACATGTTATAATATTAATATAATTAACATGTTATAATATTAACATAATTAACACGTTATAATATTACTATAATTAACATGTTATAATATTACTATAATTAACATGTTATAATATTACTATAATTAACATGTTATAATATTACTATATATAACATGTTATAATGTTACTATAATTAACATGTCATAATATTACTATATAATAATGCAGCCTCAGTGTGAACCTGATGCTCTGATGGGAGGTAAACTGATATTAAAGCTGATAGATTAAAGTTGAAGAAATGAAGGTGACAGTTTTTTTATCAGTTCACAGTTTTAACCAAAACCCATTAAATTTAATTTATCAGGAAAGTCAAACAAAACGTTTTATTTTGAACTCACAGAAGAGATTCGGGTCATTTGAGGAGAACTTTTACATGTCCTGACTGTTTTGAGACATCCAGGGTTGAGTTTTCCCCCCCCGAGGCAGAGCTGGTTCGACTGGTTTTAGTGGGAGGGGTGGATCTGACACAGCTGTGAAATTAGGAGAGTTGTATTTATGGGTTAAATGTAGGTGATGGTGTTCAGGTGAGTTCTGCTGCTTTGGGCTCAGACCTCTAGAGAACCTGACCCCCTGAGCTCTGGCCTCTAATTTTATTTATTTATCTTCTCTCACTGAACGACACTCACCTGTAATTTTCTCATAAAACCACAGATCCGTCCTCGGAGTCGTCCTCACAGACTCTTTAATTTTGTTTTCATGTGAACGTCCCGTTTCCTGAGTTTGGACCTTCATGAGTCCTGGTGTCGCTCAGTTTGTTCGACCCAAATCCTGGACTCCAGGTCAGAACTTCACCTCCGATCTTCTCATGAGGTCTGCAGATTTAATGAAACGTTCAACTGGAGGAGAGTCTCATTCTGCAGGACTGTCCTCTCCCATCATCTTCATCACCGATCACAGCTGGACGAGGCAGCCACAGTCAGAACTGTCCCACAGGTAAATGGAGCTCTCAGTAAACAGGTCTTACACTGCCACCTGGTGGCTGTGGTCGACATTTCAGGGGCTTATTATTGAGTTTGTGTCCAGGTTTGTGCAGCTCAGAAACATGAAGAATCGTAAAAAAAAATTAAATAAATTTAAGAAAGTAAAAATGAGAAAAAAAAACTTTTCAGACTAAAAACAAGAAAAATGTTTAAAGAATTAATTTGTTCATAATTAAATGAATTCAGCCTAAAAAAAGTTTTAAAATATATTTATATATAAATTTTGAGTTTGAGTAAATCTACATTCAGTCTAACCTGGGTTCTGAAGACCAAGAACTGGACTGGTGCTCAAAAGGTCTAAAGTCCTGAAGTCTGAAGACGGAGCCGAGAGTCCAGTTTCCAAAGTCTGTGGTGGTTTTGGGGTTCATATCATCTTCTGCTGCTGGTCTACTGGGTTTTATTATCAGGTCCAGAGTCAAAGCCGCCTGAAGTCCACGAGAAGGTTTTAGAGACCTTCATGGTTCATCTGCTGAGACGCTTTATGGAGATCCAGATTTCCTTTTCCAGCAGGACTCTACACCTGTCGACGGAACCAAAACCTGGACCCTGATATTCCTGTGTGAGACAAACCCCCGACCCAAAATACAGACCAGCAGGTACCAGAGGAACCTGGACTTCAGGGACCCCTCAGCAGAATTGATACTGGACTTAACCCGGCAGAGGAATGGAAAGAAGTCGGTGTAAATTGACACGTTAACTTGAATGGTTACGATCAGCTACGATCGGAGGATACGACCTTTTAGGAGACCATCAGGATGAAGGTGGAAATTGGAGGTTAGACGTCAAGAAAACATCTGGAGCATAAATGAGAGTCTGACTGATTTTAGGAGTAAAAGGACACGACTCAGGACGTTTCATCTGTGAGGCGTTTTATTACAGCGACAATAACAGACAATAAAAAATCAGAGATTCACAAAAACTCTTAAAGGTAAGAACCAAAGAAAGAGTCCAGACCGCCACCGGACAGATTCAGGAGGGATTAAGAGAACGAAGGATCGCTTCAAAGCTCAGCGGAGCGAGAGAAAGAAAGAAAGAGATGGCTTTAAAGGTGAACTGGAATAAAAAATAAAACTTAACAAAGACACGGTAAAAAACTCAGATCTACTCTCTGAATGTTAATGTTAATATGAGGAGAAATTACCCAGAAACCCCGTCTGCACAGACAAAGAGACCAGAATCGACTCTCAGCCCGTTAGTCCGGTCCAAAAACAGACGAGTGAAAAAAACACGGATCATGTGATCAAAACAGAGAGAGTTAAAGTCAAAACAACAACAAAAAAAAAACAGGGTCTGATGGGCGCAGCGTACTCGTGTTCTCACCGTTCACAGGCGGCCTGCAGCCACCTAGTGGCCATAAGAGGAAAGTCACTCCTGCAGCCTCAGCTGAGACTAACAGGAAGCTCAGGGCCAGCTCAGCTCTGCAGGTCCGGACAGTCCTCAGTCAGGGGGATGAAGATGATGAAGATGATGATGATGAGGAGGAGGAGGTTAACGGGGAGAAAACAGCTGACAGTCCTGATCGCACAGGTGCAGCAGAGTCCAGGTCAGGGGGGTCAGAGCGAGTCCTCAGTCACTGTCAAACTTGATGGAGTTGACGGTCGTAGAGATGGCGCCGCCGCGGTAACTTCCTCTCTTCTTCTTCGTCTTCTCGTGACGGAACGATTTCCCTTTGGTGAACTTGAGGACGTCGTTGGCTTTCTCCCCCCAGTCCCCCTGAGCCCCGAACTGGAACACGGAAAACAAACGGGGTTCAAATGACGAACATCGTAGAAACACGATTAAACTCATTCAAATTTAATCGTCATTAAACGATCAAACTTTGTGGCTCCAGAGACTCGCTGACGTGACCGGACTCACCTTCGCTTCAAAAGAGTTGTTGGTCAGACGGGGGTCCACCTCCACGTCTTCTTCTCTGATTCTCCTGAACGGTACATTGACAGACTGAAAGACAAAGGTCATCTTCATCATCATCATCACGAGTCCTTCTAACTGAACCTTCATCAGACAGACCGTTAAGAGGACCAGGACGGGTCTGCAGGAGGACTCACCTTCTTAGTTTTAGGAAAGGTCTGCGGTGTGGTTTTAGCTTTTTTGTTGTTCGGCGTCTTCTTCTCCTCCTCCTCCTCTTCTTCACTTTCTGACGACTCTTCGTCTTTTTTCCTCTTTCCTCCGGTACCTGCAGAAACGAGGGAGAAGGAAACATAAACCTCAGATTTCTCAGGTAACTTTAGGTTGAAGGAATTCTGGGTAACGGCGTGTGTTCAGTGTTTGTCAGAGACGTACCGTTTGTTACAGGAGTGGTTGGCGCTGTGGCTGCTTTGCGTGGAGCCTCCTCTTCCTCCTCTGAAGAAGAACTGTCGGACGAGCTGCTGCTCTCTTTAGCTTTGGCTGCAGGTGTTGCAGGTTTAGCTGCAGGTGTTGCAGGTTTGGCTGCACTTTTAGGAGCCTCCTCCTCCTCCTCCTCCGAGCTGCTGTCACTGGATGAAGACTCCGCTGCCTTCTTGGCTGCCGGTGTGGCTGCTTTAGGCGTCGCTGCTTTAGGCGTCGCTGCTTTAGGGGTCGCTGCTTTGCCGTTTGTTACTGCGGGCTTCGCAGGCGTCGCTTTAGCTTCAGTCTCTGAATCGGAGCTGTCCGACTCTGAACTGCTCTCCTCGGCTTTCTTTGCTGCGGCTGGTTTTGTGGCTGCAGGCGTTGCTGCCTTCTTTGGTTCCTCCTCCTCCTCCTCTTCACTGGAACTGTCCTCGCTGCTGTCTGCAGGTTTCTTTGCAGCAGCAGGAGCAGGTTTCTTTGCAGCAGGTGCTGCAGGTGTTTGCTTCTTGGCTGCAGGTTTGGCTGCCTCCTCCTCTTCCTCAGAGCTGTCTGAGTCCGAGCTGCTCTCCGCTGCAGCAGGTTTGGCTGCAGGAGGAGCAGGCTTGGATGGTGTGGTCGCTTTAGCTGCTGCAGGTTTAGCTTTGACTGGTTCCTCCTCGTCTGATGAGGAGTCAGAGTCAGAGCTGCTCTCAGCTGCAGCAGCAGCAGGCTTTGTTGCAGGAGTAGCTAGTTTTGCTTTTGCAGGTTGTTCATCTTCAGATGAGGAGTCAGAGTCCGAGCTGCTCTCAGCTGCAGCAGCAGCAGGCTTTGTTGCAGGAGTAGCTGGTTTCGCTGCAGGAGTAGCGGGCTTCGCTGCAGGAGTTGCAGGTTTTGCTTTTGCAGGTTGTTCATCTTCAGAGGAGGAGTCAGAGTCTGAGCTGCTCTCTGCTTTGGCTGCAGGTTTCGTCACAGGGGTCGTGGTCTTAGCAGCTGGAGTCGATGGTTTAGTCGGTGTCTTGGCCTTCACTGGTTCCTCCTCTTCGTCAGAAGAATCCTCCTCAGAGCTGCTCTCTGCTGCTTTGGCTGCAGGTTTGGCAGCTGCAGCAGGTTTTGGTGCAGCTGCAGGTTTTACAGCAGGTTTAGCAGGAGCTTCATCCTCAGAGCTGCTGTCTGAATCTGAGGAGCAAAAACATGATGGTGAAAATTCTGTGACTCAAAACAGCTCCAGCAGCTGTCAGGTTATTGAGTTCATGCAGCTGAACCGGGTCAGAGAAGAAATATAAGAAGAGTCTGTCTGAGGAACTTCATCAGTCTGATTATGATCAGAATTAACTGAAGGAATAACAGGAAATCTCTGTTTAATGTTGGATCTCATGCAGAAGATCTGCTCCTCTTACCTGAGCTGGATGACTCGGCTTTCTTAGCAGGTGGGGTCTTGGCAGCTGCAGGTTTAGCCGGGGGCTTCTTTGTCGCCTCCTCGTCCTCCTCTGAGCTGGAATCATCAGAGCTGTCTTCCTCAGCTGCAGCAGGTTTAGCTGCAGCAGGTTTAGCAGGAGTCACCTTTGCTGCAGGTTTAGCAGGAGTCACCTTCGCTGCAGGTTTCTTCTCCTCCTCTTCATCCTCTGAACTTGAGGAGTCGGAGTCAGAGTCTTTTTTGGGGGCTGCGGTCTTGGCTGGAGCGGGTTTTGCTGGGGTTACTTTGGTTGCAGGTTTCTTTGCCTCCTCTTCATCTGAGCTTGAATCTGGATAAACATGAGGATGAAGATTATCTGGGCCAGTTTGCACTCGTCTGATATCACTGAAAGGAAAACGACTTGCTGTGATCGTTACCTGAGCTGTCAGAGCTGGACTCCGCCTTCTTCGCAGCAGGTTTGGCTGCAGCAGGTTTGGCTGCAGGGGTTTTAGCCGGTGTGGGTTTGGCTGCGAGGAAAACACGGCTGTTAGAAAAGCGTCTGAAATCGCTGACTCTTCATACAAAGAACAGAGAGGACTCCTCACCAGCTGCTTTCTTCTTCTCCTCTTCATCACTGCTGTCATCGCTGCTGTCGTCGGAGGAGCTGCTGTCTTTCGCTTTACTGGCTGCAGGAGCGGCTGCAGCTTTCTGCACCGAGGCAGGAGGAGGGACGGCGCTGTACGCTCCTGTCAGGACGCAGAGAATCATCACAATCATCCATCAGCTCAGATTTATCACACGGACATGAAGCATGGTGGAGTGTGAGGATGCAGCAGCGGCATGAACAGGGAAGCGTTTACCGTTAAAACAGGAAATGAAGGTGAGAACACACCTGCTTTGGGTTTCTTGCTGGGCGGAGCCTCGTCTTCAGATGAAGAGTCTTCGCTGCTCGACTCTGCAGCCGCAGCAGGTTTGACCGCAGCAGGTTTGACCGGGGTCGGCTTCACTGGAGCCTTTAATGAGGAAGAAACATGAAGTCCCAAACCTGCGACTCTCTGTTTAACTGTCCATCTCTAAATCATCCTGACTTTTCAAACACAGACATGAAAACCTGTAAAATAAAGAAACCTGACTCCACTGTTCGACTTACTTTCGCTGGTTCTTCATCCTCAGAGTCTGAAGAATCGTCGCTGCTGCTCTCCGGCTTTTTCGGAACTGCAGCTTTAGCAGGAACAGCTGCTTTTGGAGCTGCTTTAGGTTCTGACATTCAGACATAAAAACGGGTCATTTTAATAAAACACTTCAGTATAATGTCAGCTTCATTAATGTGAAAGACGCCTCTGTCTGCAGACTCACTCGCTGCTGCAGCTTTAACGGGCGGCTCGTCTTCTGAGTCGGACTCTTCGCTGCTGGAGCTGCTGTCCTTCTTCCTCGCAGCAGCAGGAGCAGCAGCTGCTGCCTTCACAGGAGTCTGCGAACACAGGAGACTTTTTAACAGTCATCAAAACAGCTCAACTTCACCCTAAATGAGTGGATCTGGAGAGACTCTTGGTGTGGACGATCTTTCTAACCTTCACAGGAGTCTTTGCAGGAACTTTCTCCTCCTCAGAGTCGCTGGAGTCGCTGCTGCTGGATTCAGCTTTAGCAGCTGCTGCTGCTTTTTTGGCCGGCACCGCCTTCGCTGCTGAAACAGACATGGAGATTTAAAAAAGGTGTTCAGACTTTTGATATTTGTTCATGCTTCATGTTTCTGCTCGCAAACATAGAGTCGTGTTGGATCAGGTGATCTTGCTCTGGTTAGTTTTACAGGCGTGTTTTTTTATCACCTGCTGGAGCTGCTTTAGCCGCTCCTGCTTTTTCATCCTCGCTGCTCGACTCCTCGCTGCTGGAACTGTCTGCGCTCGGTTTTGCTTTCTTGGCTGACGGACCTTTTGTGGCGTCAGCTGTGTCGGCGGGAGGGGCCTTACGCTTCCTGGCCTCAGGTGACCTGGAGAGAGAGAGAGTTATGTAACCTGAGAATTATTCTATTTAAGATGACATGTAGAGCAGGTTAAAGTAGCTAATCTATCAAACTGTTTCAGAAGTTTAAATATTTTTGGAGATCGGTCTGAATAGATCATGGAGACAGATTTATAAACAGAGGTACATTTAACTGTCGCTAGAGCTGGACGATAAAAGGATAGCGATATAAATCAACAATTAATTTCCCTCGATATCGATAGCCGGCCTTCTGCCATGTTTTGATAGACTATACGAATAGCCAATGAAAAGAGGAGTTGCTCCGGGTCCGCTTTGCGCTGAACCAATCATGTTCTGAATTAGAACCAAGTATCAAAAAACTGCGTCGTAGCAGACAGCAGCTCCACCCAACCATAGCACTTTAACAGGTGAAGCCGACAGCACTGTTGGTGAGAAACAAAGAAAATGAGTGCTACCCCCGACAGAAATGACCATGAAGGCTCAACAGATGACCACATCGGGGTGTCACAGCTCAAGGAAGAACATTTACGATCATTTCTTTATCATTTCCTTGAGGTAATAATCATCATATTAATCAGTTTTCTCCGCAGACGCGGTAGTTCTTCTGTCTTAGCGTCTCGGTCTGATTGTATTTCCATGAAGAAATGATCATAAATGTTCTTCCTTGAGCTGCGGCACCCCACTGTAGTCTGTAATGGACTGGCCTGAGGTCTCGCTACAAACAAGCGTCTGCTGGAAGAGAGTAGGTGAGTTGTGTTTAGTCTCTCTGCTAAAGAAATGAGTCAAAGTTAAAAAGATGTTTGGTGTCTAGTACTATGTCTGTGACCCTATATGTCCTGTTGATGAAGTTAGGTGCTGTTCTGAGCATTATTTGTGGCTATAGAGTGGCGTTTTGGTTGAGGTTTGTGTTGTTACTAAAGTTGGTATGACTACAGAAGGAAGCGATCTGTAACATTCATCTCTGGAGGGGGGGGTCTAACTCGGTGTTACGGTGTTTTTGACCCTAAATTAATTTTACGCCAGAATATCCCTTTAAAACTAAAGGTTAAAACTGTTTTGGAGTGTTTTATAGGAAGGTGTTCCAATTATTTTGGTCTGCTCATGTTTTCTTAGTGAAGTGGACAAAATAATAGGAACACTTTTTACAATAAAACACATTCCAGTTCACCTCCAACACCCAGAACGACTTAACAACTGATTTAAAGATCAATTATGACCTGTTTGATCATGACAACAAGAACTGAGACAGTAGAAGCTTCCAGAAAGTAGAATTTATGAAACTGATGAGTTCGACTACATTAGTTTAACTGTTTAAGTTGTCTAGTTTTTCATGTTTAACATGTGCAAGAATGAAGTAAAATATCAGCTTTGAGGAATTAAAGAAAACTTACTTAACCCAGAAGTTGTAGATGTTCACCAAACTTTCTTCATTTTCATCCTGTGGAGTCTGGAGATAAAAAACAAACAAATTTATTAAATTTAAAAAAAACGCAGTCAATAAATCTTTAAAGGTTAATTATCATCCCTTTAAGACTAAATGTATTTATTTAAGGTTAAACGTTTGAGTACTAAGACACGTGCACCCTCTCCTGCACGTGCACTCTTACAGGGGGGCTCTCTGCACGCGGGCTAACCTATAAGGTGAGCTTCTCTACGTCAGAACACCTAGACCCGGACAGTCCGGTCCACTCCCTCCGGAAAACAAACACTGAACCCCTTACCACTTTGGTCTGTTTCAGGAACTGCTGCGCCGCTTTAGTGAACTTATTTTCCACCAGGAACGAATAAACGCATTTATACAGATCACTCTGCGCCGCCATCTTTAACACGCTCTACCTAAAAAAAACGGAAATGGAGGAAACGTCACTTCTGCCTTTGCGCATAATGATGACGTTAACACGCTTTTTTTTTTGGTTTATTATTAAAAGGAGTTCTTTTAATTTCATTTGTTTTTGCCCTAAATCGCTTTTTTTTTCAAAAAAATAATTATTTTTGAATTATTTTATTTTTTTATTCCACTTACACCATGGATAAGTAGTAAGTCCCTGCCGCCTTGCTATTCCTTTATTTTATATCAGTGGAGTTAAAGGACCTTTAAATGGTAAGACGAAATGTTTAATAAGATACTCATTGTGATTTCTTTGTTAATGTAGAAACAGTTTAAAACGGCGCTGAAGTTAGTATTTTATTCACATCCATATGTATAAACGCTAGATGTCTTACGCACGCTGTTAGCCAATGGACACCGACGTCTGCGCATGGCGGCCATCTTACTACGGGCAAATAGCCCAACATTGCAGTCTACGGTTCATGTATCATTAAAATAACCATAGATTGAGTAATTTTAAGCCGATTTTCAAACGGTTTCGTTTGTAACAAACCTCAGAGTTTTAGTTATGTTCTTGCATACTCAAGAATAATTTTCACCATGGATTTACATAAATAAACATTAAACAGATAGGCAGAGCAATAGCTAAAGGCCCACACACACAAGGTAGTTATATTAAATCATTTATATATAAAACATTTAATAATTCCATGTATGTTATATTAGTTATATTTCTATTATAGGAATAACTATAATAACATATAACAATAACATATAAATATTTATTTTCAATATAAATTTCTGCCTCATGTTTCCATTTTGGATGTTTTTAACAAACCAAACAGTTTGGAAATCATGTGTAACTTCAGTTATGTTGAAACAAAGAGCATTTCAGCCTCTTTAACTGATGTGAAATTACTGGGTCAACTTTGTAACTTTGGTTTTACTCACAGCAAGTCTGTTAGACAAGTTAGACAGCTGATAAACACAAGACCATCCACAAAGACTCTCACTTAGACTAAAGAAAATGAAATAATAAATAACAAATAGGCTGTCATACAAGAAATTAAAATCTCGATTGTGGTCTCAGCCTCGACAAAGCAACTCAAAGTTAACCATTGTGTCAAGATTTCAGAGAGTTAAGAGTATTTTTGATCATGTAGATTACTCAACTTCAGTCAGCTACCATGATGGTATACTGGAGTAAGATGGCCGCCGTGCAGGAACGCCGGTGACTGCCTCATAGAGTCATCTAGCCTTTCTCTTAGATATCTATGGGAGCAGCTACGTCGTTGTCGCGTGCTTTAACCGTCATTAAGAAGTCCTTCCTGTCCTCCTGTCGGACCATGGTCGTCTTTGAGTCCTTTGACTCCCTGCTATGACTCTATTATCCATTTTTTACTGAATTTAAAGTGTTTATCAAACGGAGCGATGCCTCGGTATGAGCTGGCCCTCATCCTGAAGACCATGCAGCGGCCGGAGACCGCAGCTGCTCTCCGGAGGACCGTGGAGACCCTGATGGAGCGGGGGGCTGTGGTGAGGAACCTGGAGAACCTGGGGGAGAAACTCCTGCCCTACAAGATCAGCAAACACAACCAGAAACACGTGACAGGGGCGTACTTTCTGCTGGACTTCTACTCACCCCCCAACATCATCATAGGACTGCTGGACCACCTGCACCGGGACGTGGACGTGGTGAGGCCCACGGTGCTGAAGAAGGACGAACCGGGGTCTGCTGTGGGGGGCAGCTGCTGTGGACCCTGATAATACAGTGTAAGGATTTACTGAAGAGAAACCAGACCAAGGGTGCTGGTCCTGACATGTTTTTAAATCATAAGGCTTTTCTTTAAATTTGTAGTTATTTATTAATTATTATTATTTAGTTTATTTATTTATTATTTAATTATTATTATTATTTTTGTTTATTTATTTTTGTGGTTATATTTTAGTTTATTTATTTGTCTTCCTGAATTTGAATCAGTTTGAGGATGTTGTGGTGTGAATTGTTAAAGTATTACTCAATTTAAAATAAAAAAAACACATGCTATGGTGGCCCTGAAGGTCAACCCTCAAATGCCTCTTGACCATGGTGAAAAAATGCTTCATAAACAAACATTAATAATAGACAAAGGGTAATGATCTAAATTTATACAAAAAAAACAAAATAATTTCTCATTGAGAAACAAATGCCAAAATTCATAAAAACTTCAATTCTATGAACAATTCTTAGTACAAATAAAGCTGTTATTTTTATTATTATTTTAATTTTATTTTTTTTGTACAAAGCCAGAATGTTTTCCGCTTTAAAAAAAAATTAAGAATAAAAGTTCCCTAATTTCCACCACATCCTAAACGTCTACAAAAATGCCATATCCTCCGATCGTAGCTGATCGTAACCATTCAAGTTAACGTGTCAATTTACACCGACTTCTTTCTGTTGCGTATTGTATTATGTGTGTGCAGATGACCTCCAGGGCCACTGTACATTTCTTTGCTGATGACTTCAGCTCAGTGACTCATGTCTATCATGAGTTCAGCTGTCAGTGAAGCTTTAGTAAATTTGAATTGATCATGATCTTTAATGCCTGAAACTGTTTTAGGATTTATTGTTTGAACGTGTGTCTTTTATTTATTTATTTGCTCATTTTGTTATTACTCAGAAAAACAAACTCAGTGATCAAATCCTTAATATAATCTATACTCTACCCTTATATGACTGACTTTAACAGCTTAATGCTGTGAGTGGACTTTCCTCCTCTTTATGGAGGTCATGGCTGGCCGACCGTACTCTAACCTCCTATAATGTTTGTTCCTTTATTTTTTACAGGTGTCACGGCTCGTACTCAGCAGACTGATGGTGTGACGCTCACCTCTCTGACCTGCACCGTAGCGGCTGAGCTGCATTTGGATGTCATAATGTAAAATGTAAAATAAACTTGTTTTTCTATCCTGGCTGCAAGTTTTCTTCAGGCGATATTTTTTATTTATGAGATCCCGACCCTGATCCAGTCTTGATTACTGTCCTTCAGAGAAACGCTCAAAGTAATAAACAGCTGCAGCCCGGCTGTTGTGAAGATTGTGAAGATGAAAAATCTCAGGTTACCGCTGTTTTCTAAGGATCTCTGTCAGGGCTGCAGAGCTTTAACAGGAGGCTGGAATGGGATTTATGTTTTATAAACCAACTTTTCTACGGCAGCTCTTGATCCAAACACACAGTTCACATGAGGAGCGTATGTGAACTTCAATTCAGGGGGTAGCAATAAATATTAGTGTCTTTTAAAACATGTTTTAGAGAGGAGGACAAAACGAACTCAGGCAGATTTTAAAGGTTTGTGGATATTTTTAAGTTGTTACTAATTAAAAACAGTGTAGAAATGACATACCAAATATTGACACTAAAAATGTTTGCACTTAATAAAAAATATCTGTTCAGGATGAGTTTGATGCCAGCAACAGGTTTAGAAAAATATGTGACGGGGACAAACAAAAGTTATGAAATCCTGGAAAAATTAGAGGAACATTGACCACCTGATAAGGTCACAAATGAGACGACCGTCATGACTCTGTAGTGGAGATCAATACATGGACCCAAATCACTTAAAATCACCGGTGTCTGTGAACACAGTTTAATGATAAGTCAGTAAGCCAGGTGGCTCAACTTACCCCGGTCTCCCCTACCTGAGGTGTAGAAGTTATAGAAGACAGACCACATGACCTCAAACTGAATATTTTTATTTCATAAACCTGAGGAGTTAAGTTTTTTTATGATGTATTTCCATATTTAACTGTGATATAATCAAACACACACATATATATCTATGAAAGTGTGTTTTTCTGCTGTCACGGTGTTTTTGGACCGAAACTCAACAGATCAGGTGGAAGTGGGCCGAGCAGAGTCAGAGTCACGTGTTCTGGTGGAGTCAGCTGACGGTGAGTCTCATCATAAAGGAAACAACAGACCGAACCTCAGCACTGCAGGGTCAGAGCGTCTTCATTCACAGAACCAGAACCAACAACAGAACAACAAAACACGACCTCAGCGGAGTCATGCTGCTCCTAACCCTGCTCTTCATCTCTACAGGTAAGAACACAAACTGAATATTATCATAAAACACCTGACTGTTTGACTGACTGTTTCTGACTGTTTCTGTTCACATGAGGAGAAAAACAAACTGCGTCTCAACACGGAAGCTGCTCCGGAGCTAACGCGGACTTTAGACGTTAAAAACACAGCTAAACTAAACCACAACACTTTAATTTGTCGTTTGAGTTCATGTAAAACACGTTAACTTTTCACGTTATATCGCCGTTTTTTCGTGACTGTTCGTCTTTGACGTTATTTTCGGCCTCGCGCGGCTCGGCTAACGTTAGCCGCTAAAGCTAGTTTGTTAGCTAAATAACGACCTCAGAGTTAGTTTGACTTTATCCGGATAAAATAGCCCGGAGAAAGAAAGAAAGAAAGAAAGAAAGAGGTTTTAGTTTAGGAGAAATTCAACAACATGACTGTAAAAACCGAGCAGATAAATAACCAAATACTCTAATAGATCAGTCACAGGATGTTCTGTTTACTTTTTAAAATCAAACTAGTGTCCCAAATCGCATACTTCCACACTAAAAACTTCACATTTAGAGTATACTCATGTCCAAAATGGAAAAAAAGTGTGGATAGTTTGTCTTAGTTTATAAATATTTTATCTTTAGTCACCGTGTTTGAAATAATTAATATGTAAATAGGGTATCTTCAGTTTTCTTGCTCAAATTTTTTTTTTTTATGTAAATAGTTTATTTTTCTGTTATGCAAATAAATGTTAAGACATAAAGCAAATTGCATCGTATGCGATTTAGGACAGCACTGCACCCTCCAAACTCACGCACCTTGAGATTGAGTACATAGTATGCTCAGTATACTCAATTTGAAAAATGTAAGTATTTAGTATGGAAGTATGCGATTTGTCAGAATAACGTAAAAAATATATGTTTGTTTGTTTTTCAAATCGGTAAAATCCACATTTAGGCTCCAGAAAGTCTTTAACATGGTGACAGGAGAGGGATTTTACTTTTTTTTTTTTTTTCTTGGGGTGCTTCAACTTTTACAAGGTGGCATAAAAATGTATGTGCATGTGCGCTGATAATTACCGTATTCACCCTAATATACGTAATTTTTTAATTAAACAGATCTGAAAAAAGAGGGATTGGCTTGAATTGAGGGTTTACCTTATCAGTAAAGAGGATGAACTCCTTCATGTCAGTGTCTGTAGGTGCCAACAGCATGAAGGATGGAGTACGGTGGCTGAGAGCTGCCACTGCTGCAAATTAGAAAAAAGAAAAAAAAAGGCACAACAGAAGTTACCGATGTGAAACAAACATTAAAAAAAAAACAGAAGCCCGCTGCAAATAAAAAAAGAAATGGTGCAGATAAAAAAAAAAAAAGCCACAACAGAAGTTTTTTTTATTTGCATTCTTAATTTTTTTTTTTTTTTCCATAGCCACTTTTTTTTTTTTTTCATTTCGTTAACTTCCGTTGTGGCTTTTTAAAAAATTTTTTTATCTGCACTGTTTCTTTTTTATTTGCAGCAGTCTTCGGTTTCCTTTTGTTCTGCATCGGTAACTTCCGTTGTGGTTTCTTCTTTATTTGCCTTCTTTTTTTATTTGCAGCAGTGGCGGTTCTCGGCCACCGTAACGGAGGGACGTAATGACTGTAGTAAAGTGGCATAAAAGTGGGACAAGTTAACCAACAACTGAGCTGAAACAGGATCACAGTGTTTGTCTCTGAAGAAAAAAAGTCCATGCAGAAGATATTTAAAAAAAACTGTCAAACATCCTTAAAAACATTGTTGAAAAAAGTGACGTCTGAAGATCATGAGAGCATGAATCTGACTTTGGATTAATACTGTAAAGTGTAATTTTTTCAGTTTCTCTCAACCTGTTAGAGATGATTTCAGAGGTTATAATATTAAACAGCGACTCCCTTCATGTGTAAAATAATTATTAACATAAAAACAAACTGAACAGAGAGGAAATGTCAAAATTAGGAGCAAACTCCTGCAGTCCGTCTGTTTTAGTGTCAGGTGTTTTCTCAGTTTGCCTGCAGGTACTGTTGGACCTTCAACCTCACCTTTTGTGCCTTTTCTCTTAATTAAAGGAACATTTTAAAGCAAAGAAATCTGATTGAAACAGCAGATTTAGACTGAAATCCCATCTCCGACGAATATGTTTATCATACTTTTATTTACACAGGACTTTTGAAAGCAAGTTATTTTACACTCTACATAAAAACAAAAGGTCAGCTGCTGTTATAAAAACCTGTAAAACCATAAACTCAGTAAAAAGCAGGTTTAAAATGTTGTTTTGAAAGTTGATTTAAAGATGATGGCGTGGTTTTGATTTCAGATGTGTCAAAGAAAATCTGCAGAGTTAATGAACTCAGAGTGTGTGACTGTTTTTACTTTACTTCAGTATTTGCTTTGGTTTGGCGGTGCTTTTTTTACCCTCTGTTCTGGTTTTTAGGGGAAGTCCAGAAACTCATTTGTTTTCAGTTTTGGTTCCTCCTGATTGAACTGACTGACTTTGCCATGTCCTCTCTTTCTTCCTCCTAAACTCTGCGTCGTTAGGTTACTTATCTTTATGTTCAGACAAATCTGGGTCAGCGACACCAAAGCCAGTGTTGCAACAAACGTTTGCATAACGTCCTCTATAAGTCTAGTTATAGCAGAGTAAAGCCTTAAATACATGCTGCTGTTGTCTTGACCTGGTGTTACATTAGAAATAGAAACACAGCTGATCCAGCGAGCTCTGGGCTCTGTCTGATAATATTGGCTCCTTCGGCTCTTGCATACACACTTGTGTGTTTAGTGCTTATCTGCAGTCTGACCTTTGGTTGGAAAAATAAGTTTTTGTCATATTTTCTCCGGCTCACATTCTCGCCTGTGTTTTCTGCAGACCTGTTCATGACATTCTCTGAGTCAGTGACTCGCTCTCATTGTTCAGGTCGTGTTGTAGTTAAATATTCTTTCTGCTTATCTCTCTTTATCGGCTGAAACTCCTGTGTAAGTTTCTAAACTGGAACTGTTCCCCCGCAAGTCGCTCATGGTGTCCAACAATGTAGTGTGTTTCCTATTTCGAGCCTGATGCGTTCCATGTGTCATGTGACGGTGATTCACTCTCGCTATAATGACTTTTCTGTCTCAGAATAATCTTCACAGGAAGTGAGAATAATGTGAAAGTCTTTAGATGTCCCGGCCTTGACGCTGACTTCCCATAAACCCGCTCTCTGCCCGGTGATCAGCTTGTTTTTCCTGCTGTAGGCGCTTACATAAAGCTTATTAAACATGTAACATACATTTCCTGCTGCCTCGCCGTCTCTCTTTGGTGGTTTTAAAGTGTTTATTGCTCTGCAGAGATTTTCCTGCGTTGGTACAGTCTGTCCTCTTGAAAACAGCTTGTTATTTTGTCTGACTGCTCATGTGACTCTGGTGGGAGTGGGAGAGAGAGCGCGGTGACTGTGCTGGTTTGACTGATGAGCAGGAGGGGGTCTCTCTCTCTCTCTCTCTCTCTCTGTCTCTCTCTCTCTCTCTCTGTCTGTCTCTCTGTCTCTGTCTCTCTCTCTCTCTCTGTGTAACCGGGGGATCTGAAAGTTGCCAGAGCAGCTTTTTCTTTATCAGCTGAAGTGACTTGAAATCCTCCATGTAAACTGATCTGTTTGGAGCTGCTGAGGTCTGACGCTGCTTCATCATGACGAGGGTTTAGTGTCACATTTACAGAGTCCTCAACAGTTTTGGACATTTGTGTTGTCGGTCAGTAAGCACCAGTGTGGAGCTGTCTGTCAGCGGTCTGTAGGTCAGGAGGACTGAGAGAAAACATGGAGGGACAACAGGCGACATGGCTGTCTGTGTCCTCTGCTGTCAGTTTCTCTGTAGAGGACATGAACCCACTAAGACCTGAACCCTGTCTGAGACTCTGAAATCCTGAGAAGGGCCCCCAGATCCTGAGGTTGAATTCTGTTTACATCTGCTACAGAGGCTGAAATATCAGCTTTTCATAAACAAATATTTGAGAGCTCACAGGTGTGACTTTCAAGATAACTGTCTTTTATTTTTCTGAACCTTCATCACATTATTGAAAACCTTGAACAAACAAACTCTAATGAAATAAAGTGGCTGTATAAATAAAAGTAAAGACTCTGGAGAAAAACAAACTGTTTACTTTCTGTAAAACAAGTCAAAGTCATGATAAAGTGTCCGTTCAGCTCAAATATAAATATAAAAAATAAAGTATTGAAAGAGTAAACAGCTGCCCTAGTATAGTGCCAGGACAAAAGCAGAACTAAAAACTAAAGAAGTGTCTGACAGTCTGTTCATGTCTGTGTTCACCCACAGTCACAGAAAATGCCGATAGTGTGAGACAAAGACCTCAACATGAAGAGGTTGTTCACACTGATGGATGTTTCTCCTCTGAAGCTGCTCTCTGCCCCGTAGTAAGATCCCAGCATGAATCTGATCACTTTATTAATCTTTAACCTATCAGAGGCAGACAGGTATGATGGTTTGATTCACCATGACTTAAAAACTACAGAGTGTCAAAAAATAACATATCGGCGCTCCCGGCTTGGAGGTTTGAGATGCGAACATGCTGTTCCGGTTTAAACAGGTGAAAGATTTTGTGTGAGAAACAGCAGCCTGTCAACAACAGCATCTGATATCGATTTATGCGACGTGGTCCAATTCCATATCTCATTTAAAAATATATCAATATATTTTTATATCGATAGATCGCCCGGTCCTACACGGCACGCCTGTGTCTGAAGGACTGCTGCGTGCGGCGGCTCTTCTCAGCAGCATCACTGTGAGCTTTTCCAGAGTGCGGCGATCAAACACACTAACCGTCAGACGTTTTACCGCGGTTTATCATTTTACAGGCAGTCGTTACATCCCTACATGTGACCAAAAGACCTAAACTGATTTCAAATATTAGCACCAATATAGCGACCAATAAGACAAACATTATTGATCAGTTTTCATTGATCCCCTAAATTTCTTTGTATGCTCATTACTTTTTCAACTTAGGAGAACATGTGAACAAAGTTTCTTTTCTTTCAGCAGATGTTTCTCCTTTTTTAAAGATGTGGTGATAAAAAGTATTAAAGAATAGACAACCTAAACACAAACTAGTCCAGATTTAAACTCGTTCTGATTGAGCAGAGATGCAGATCTGAAAGTCGTCTGTCGTCCTGCAGGTTCTGGAGGAACAAAGTCAAGAAAAAGATGAAGCTCTAGACTCTGAGGTTTTTTCTCTGTGTCACATTTTTCCTGTGAAATAAGGAACTGTGAGGTCTGAGCCTTTTACTCTCCTTTACATAACCACAAACTCACAGAGAGAGTTTCAGCTCATATATGAGACCTTCAGTGCAAAGTTTAGGGTGATGTGGTCAATGTCAAATCAAGGTCATACAGACGCAGAGTCCTACCATCAGCAGAACCTCTGAACTCTTCGTTCAGCTGACCCGCTCCGCTGTTTTTAGAGTTTAAAGAAGTAACTCAGCAGAAGAGTCACAGGGTTGAAAGTGACTCTGTTTCAACTTCCTCCTGCTGCGAGTCAAAGTTTGAGGAAGTATTTCAGTTATGAAGTCCATCATCTTCGATCACCTGACACATCAGATTACTTCAACAAAGGTGTGACACAGCCGGAGCGTGTTCTCCGGGTTAAACTTGTCACATGACCACGAGAGTTTGAAAAAGTTTAAATAAAGAAACAGAAGAACCCGAATATTTACTGGAGAGTAAAAACTGTCGCAGGAATAAGTTCTTCTGCTTCTTCTGTCTGAAATAAAGATTTCTTTAAATTTCCGCTCTTTGTTTTGCAGCTGTAGCGACCCCCCTGCTCGGCACTGAGCAGTGTGCCCGCGGCCCCCCCTACTGGTGCAAGAATGTAAAGACGGCGAGTCAGTGTGGAGCTGTGGCCCACTGCACACAAAACGTGTGGAACCAACCTCAGATGGTGAGAATGTTTAATGTGAATCATATCTGTTTATGTTTCGGATCCATTGTGTTGAACTGCCCAGGACTAGCCTCCAGGTGTTAGACACATCCTCCTCTGTTTAAGCTCCTCCAGGTGTTAGACACATCCCCCTCTGTTTAAGCTCCTCCAGGTGTTAAACATATCCCCCTCTGTTTAAGTTCATCCAGGTATTAGATATATCCGCCTCTGTTTAAGCTCCTCCAGGTGTTAAACATATCCCCCTCTGTTTAAGTTCATCCAGGTATTAGATATATCCCCCTCTGTTTAAGCTCCTCCAGGTGTTAAACATATCCCCCTGTTTAAGTTCCTCCAGGTGTTAGACATATCCCCCTCTGTTTAAGTTCCTCCAGGTATTAGACATATCCCCTGCTTAAACAGCTGTTTAGGCTTCTCCAGGTGGTAGACATATCCCAATATTAAATAGCTCTGTTGAAGTTCCTCCAGGTGTTAGACATATCCCCCTTCTTAAACTGCTTTGTTAAGGTTTCTCCAGATGTTAGACATATTCCCCTCTTTAATGGCTCTGTTTGAGCTTCTCCAGGTGTTAGACATATCCCTCTCTTAAACTGCTCTGTTAAAGTTTCTCCAGATGTTAGACATATCCCCTGCTTAAACAGCTGTTTAGGCTTCTCCAGGTGGTAGACATATCCCAATATTGAATAGCTCTGTTGAGGTTCTCCAGGTGTTAGACATATCCCTCTCTTAAACTGCTCTGTTAAAGTTTCTCCAGATGTTAGACATATTCCCCTCTTTAATGGCTCTGTTTGAGCTTCTCCAGGTGTTAGACATATCCCTCTCTTAAACTGCTCTGTTAAAGTTTCTCCAGATGTTAGACGTCTTTTTTCATGTTTTCAGAACATCTCTGTCCACTCCAGCATGGCTCTGCACTAAGTTTTTATTTCTACGTCTTTTTTCATGTTTTCAGAAATCCGTTCCCTGTGATTTGTGCAAAGAGGTGATGATTGTTGTGTCACAGATCCTGAAGGACAACGCCACCGAGGTGAGATGAAGAAGAAAACGGCGCCGTCTTTAATAAATGAAAGATAATAGATAAAGATGATAAATGAAAGTAAACTCCTGTGGTTTCAGAGTGAGATCCTGGGGTACCTGGAGAAAGCCTGTCAGCTGATCCCTGATCAGAGTCTGACAGCCGAGTGTAAGGAGATGGTGGACAGCTACTATCCCATCATCATCGGGATCATCACCGGAGAACTGGTGAGAGTTCTGAGCCGGTCCATTCAGGTCTGGACCTGCTCTGAGTAAAGGGGGGTTAACATCGGGGGTGGTTGTGATGGCGTCACAGCTGACTGAAAAAGCTGTCAACAAGTTTATCGTGGGTTTGATTTAATGGTTCAGTTTATGACGAAGCTTCGTCTAAGACTCTGAAGTCGGAGGTCCATCTGAGAGGAAAAAGGGGAACAAGAGTCTGAGAGCGAAGAGCAGCGAGCTGAATCAGGACTATTGATGGGGAAGTGAGTCCAAGTCTGGGTGGGAACAGAGTCCTCATTGTGTAACGCTGATCCTCATGACTGGGAGGAGTGGGCGGACTGGGCGGGGTTTTCTTTGTTTCAACACTCACCTGCTTCTGCAACAAGGAGACGCTTCTGTCGGATCCTTTTGGATCAGAACCGTTTATTTTGTTCTCTGATTTCACTCTTGATTCTTGTGTCACTGCATAGCAACAGTCTGTTATTTCACCATAACAGACTGTTGCTATGCAGTGAAGTTCAGTCCGTTAACAGGAACATCCATCATATCCCATCATATATTATATCGTATAAAAAGCTGGCTTTCTTTTTTTTTTTTTTTTTTTTTTAAACAGCACTGTTTCTTTTTTTGTTTGCATCCTTTTAATTTTCGCAGTAAGTAACTTTTTTTTATTTCCATCGCCACTTTTTTTTTTTTTGCGTCGTTAACTTCCCTGGTGGCCTTTTTTTTTAAATTTATACCTGTACCGTTTCTTTTTTCATTTGCAGCAGTTCCTTTTTTTTGGCATCGGTAACTTCTGTTGTGCCTTTTTTTTTTTTTTAATTTATTTATTTTTATCAGCACCATTTCTTTTTTTTGTTTGCAGTGGGCTTCGGTTCCTCTTTTGTGTATCATTAACTTCCATTGTGGCTTTTTTTTTTTTTTTTTTTTTTTTTTTTAATCAGCACCATTTCCTTTTATTATTTGCATCATCAGTTTTTGAACACATAGAGAAAAAAAAATCACATTTCCTGTTTTGAACCTGATCTGCTCTCTGTCACAGATTTAGATGTTATTTTTTAGAGAGGCAGAAACTCCTAAGTGAGTCTTTAAACGTGTTTTTATGGAGCTAACTGAAAGTCTCCGTGTTTTTAGGAGGACCCCGCCGTGGTGTGTGGAGCCATCGGCCTGTGTCAGTCTCAGCAGGCCGCCCTGGCGAAGGTTCACGCCAAGGAGCAGCTCATGTCCAATGAGATCCCTCAGGTGGACCTCTCCCAGAGAGTCGCCCCTTTCCTCCTGAACGTACCCGGACTCCTCTATCCTCAGGAGAGCGTCAAGGAGGACACAAAAGTAGAGACCCCAAAAGTAGAGACCCCGAAGCAGGTACACGGTTTACCCACCCTCCCTCAGCTGTTTCCAGGGAAACCTCACCCTCATTTTGCCCTCACTTTTGCCTTACAGGGGAATGGCGACGTGTGCCAGGACTGCATCACGTTCCTGACTGACGCTCAGGAGGAGGCCAAGGCCAACTCCTCGTTCGTCGACACTCTGATCGCAAACATCGAGAGTCAGTGTGACCTGCTGGGACAAGGCCTGGCTGAAATGGTTCGAGACGTTTTTTTAAACTTCGTAATTTTTCACGTTTTATCGGAAAGTTCATCTCACTTAACCGCTCTTCTTCACCGCAGTGTAAGGAGTACATCAGCGAGTACGGCGCTGTGGTTGTGCAGCAGCTCATGTCCATGGTGAGTCCTCGAACCCTCCTCATCTTCACTAAAGTACAGCCTGAACTTTGATTCTAATTGGTCAGAAAGAGATCGATTAATTAGTCCGATGATTTGTGTGTTTTGTGTAGCGCTAAGCTCGTGCCCAGTCTTGCAGTGACCCTCGCCTGCTGACTTCGATTTATTCAAACCTTTTAAAGCTTTTTTCTGTTTTTTATTTTTTTAACTCTATCATCTTTTTTTTAACTCTTAATTTTGCCTGTGTGATTTTCCTCCCCTTCATTCATTTTGTCTCGCTCTGTTTTCTCCTGCTCTGGGTTTTGTGTGCCGCTCCCCAGGAACAGGTAGGTCTTTCTGTGTTCATCCTGTAGCCGTTTAACCCTTTAGCTCTCGCTTTGTATGTCGTCTACTCCTAACGCTACTGACCTCAGACCGCAGAGACCTTTTAGTGGAACTTAACCCCGAATTTCCACCGCATCCGGAACGGCTCCGATCAAGAACAGCTGCGATTTTCGTCGTCCGCCAATTTCCTACTGGATCCGTTTGTGAGACTAATATCGTGGCGGATTACTGACAGCGGGAATCTCGATAAAGACAGCGACATAGACATATAAGCAGTAGATTGTGTCCTTCCAGAGGAGGAAATCTACTTCTAGACTCATCCATGGTGTCATCGGGGTGAAATGACGTCTAAAAACCTTTCACTTGTTCGTCAATCGTGTTTTATTTTGAAAAGAAGCCGGATGTTTTATTTTGTGTCTGTGCCCGACTTCCTTTCCAGCACGGGTTAATCTGTGCTGAATTTATCCGCCATGCTCCGGCGTCCAGAAAAAATAGAACTCTTGTGATCAGCTGAGGAGTCCGGCGATCCGCAGAGGAACGGAAAGAAGTCGGTGTAAATCGACACGTTAACTTGAATGGTTACGATCAGCTACGATCGGAGGATACGACCTTTTAGGAGACCATCAGGATGAAGGTGGAAGTTGGGGGTAACACTCTTTTGGAAAGGACAACTGGACTTGAGGCGAAAACGTCCCAAGTAAGTCCAACTGTCCTTTCAACGAAGAATTGGAAATCATAGATGCTGCATCCTCGGTTTCAGACAATATCTCCAGGTTTAGAAGCAACATCTAGGTCCATCCAGACTTAGAATTTTTCAGGAAAGACCTTTAGATGATTCCAAACTACATTCTGACAGTTGAAATGTGGAATGTAGAACTCTTGTGATCAGCTGTGAAATCCGGCGATCCGCAGAGGAACGGAAAGAAGCTGGTGTAAACTGACACATTAACTTGAATGTTTACGATCGGCAGATACGACCTTTTAGTAGACGATCAGGATGCAGTGGAAATTGGGGGTAAAGACTCTGCGGTGAAGGACCACACAAAGATCCTGTCCTGTTCCTCGGCGTAGAAAAAGCATCTTCAGATTTGGAGGATGTTTGGATCTTGTGACTGAGTTTGCTCCGGTTTTATACTAACCTGAAAGTGAAGGCAGCACCTTTATTTTGTTTTATCCGGCTGCTTTTGAACACCGGCTGATCTTGTTTGGCGCCCCACAGTCACAGCTGGAGACACTATGTGTGTGTGTGTGTGTGTGTGTGTGTGTGTTCTCGTGTCAGACTTGTGCGTTTTAAACGGGTGGTTCTGCCGTGGAATGATACCAAGCATGCGGTGTTTGCTAACAGCATGCGATGATCAAAGACCCGTAAAGAGAGCTGACGGTGTTTCCTGAATCCAACTGTTCGTTTCTCTCCTCAGCAACCCAAAGAAATCTGCGCCCACGCCGGTTTCTGCGCCGAGATGAAGAAGAAGTCCGTCCCCATGATGACGCTGATGGCCGCCAAGATGGTTCCTGCTGCCAAATCTGTACCTGCCGTGAAGCTGATCCCCGCCACGAAGGTGGAGGCCGCCACTGACAAGTCTGCTAAGGTACGGCGCCTCACGGTTCACTCCCCTTACTTATGATGAACACGTTAGACGTCAGCTGACGGGCGCCGTTTTCTGTTTTCCAGCGCATGGTGCGAGTCCGGGAGTCCCCGAAGTGCTCCATCTGCGAGTTTGTGATGAAGGAGCTGGAGGACATGCTGAAGGATGAGGCAACCGAGGTGAGGAGAGAGCGAGGACATGACTCCAGAGCGCCCCCTCTGTCTGTAATTAAACTGAAGCTGTGACTGAACTCCGCCCCCTGTGTCTGTGTTTTCAGGAGGAGGTCATTCAGGCCGTGGAGAAGGTCTGCACGGTTCTGCCCTCCACTCTGAGCGCCCAGTGTAAGGACCTGATCGAGACCTACGGCTCAGCCATCATCGAGCTTCTGGTCCAGCAGGCCGACCCCAAGACCGTCTGCACGGTGCTGGGACTGTGCAACGATCCCAGCCGCGCCTTCGTCGGTAAGTTCACGCTCTCCACAGTGGAAGCAAACGCAGCTGAGGGCGCAAAAGTCACAGCAGTGGCGTTTTGGAGTCATTGAGGTCCCTCAGAAGAAGTTTTCCTGAATGCATCACTTCGCTCACCTCGTCGGTTTCTTCCCTCTTTCTCTCCAGTTGCTCTCGACCAGACTCGCTTCGACGCCGGCGGTTACTGCCAAGTGTGTAAGATGGCCGTCGAGTACATTGATGGAATCCTGGAGAAGAACGCCACAGAGGCGCAGATCGAGGAGGCCGTGAGGAAAGCCTGCAGCTTCCTGCCTGATGCTTTCCGGACCGAGGTGAGTCACTGCATCTTTAACCCTTTCTCTTCCTCCTCATGTCCGAGCCTCAAACTGACCCTCCGTGTTTTTGTGCGCCGACAGTGCGACCAAATGGTGGAGCAGTACGAGCCGATGCTCATCCAGCTGCTGCTGCAGATGCTGGAACCCGACTTTGTGTGCATGGTAACCCAGACGTGTTTATGATGATTGACTGTGGAGTAACTTTGACGGTTAAGAAGTGAAGAAGTCGTTTCTGAGATGATTGTTTGTTTAACAGAAACTGGGCGCCTGTCCTGAGGCCGTGCAAAGGCTGCTGGGAACAGAGCAGTGCAGCTGGGGACCCGCCTTCTGGTGCAAGAACATGGAGACGGCGACTCGGTGCAATGTGAGTAGACGCCACAAATGCATCAGGGTTTACTGTACTGAATCAGACCGGACCGTCAAGGCGAGAATATACAGGATGTGGATTTGGAGCGTAACGGCAGCGGCGTCTCGTATCACACAGCAAAGCAGACGGGACGCGTTTCAGCGGCGAGTCGATTTTTGCTGCTCTACGCTTCCAACACGTGTCAGTCTACACAGAGAAGCTGGATTAGATTCATTGTCTTATTTGATAAATGATGATCAGACGTTCTTTTAAACAGACTCAGGTTTTTTTTATTTACCTCGCTGACATGTTCCGACGTGCTGACAGAAGTCTTCCTCAGAGCGTCACGTGGTGGTTGTGTGACGCGTCTTTAAAACAGCTGATGTTTCCGAAGGCGTGACCTTTCTGTCAGTTTGACAGATCGGTCACGCCTTCAGCTGCCCGCTCGCCCCCTGCAATATGGCGCTCCAGGTGTGGGATAGCATATACGACTTCTGTCAGCCTGGTCACACGGACGCGTCACACAACCGTCACATGACGCTATGAGGAAGACTGCTGTCAGCACGTCAGAACATGTCTGTATAAAAGTCAAGCATGAAAACCGTGCACATCATCTGGTATTTCAAAATAAAAGCATAAAGGAACAGAGTTAACTTTATTAAACACGAGTAAACCTGCAAAAACCCAAACTGTAAAATCACTTAAAGCTTTTTCACAGACAGTAGAGGCTCAACGGTCACTGGATTATATCTAAATCATCAGGAAATCGACCACAGAAAGGAAAAACAACCTGTTGTGATCATGTACTACGCTGCTGCTACGCTCCAAATGCGCTGATCCTGTATGAGATAACCAACACTGCTCTACGCGCTCAATACGGATCCTGTCTGTCTTCAGCTTTAGATTCTTGAGCCGTTTTCGGAGGATTCGTGGTTCTGGATGATTCTCCTTAAATGTTCTTGATCTCGTCTCTAACCCGCCGCTCTTCTTCTCTTTCAGGCCGTGGCTCACTGCAAACGTCACGTGTGGGTATAGAGGAGGAGGAGGCAGACGAGCACAAACTGACCTGTAGGGAATTAAAAGACAAAATTAGTGCTGCTTCCCACTTTTAATTTGTGTCCTGTTTTTCTTTTTAATGGACTTACATGACTGCAGTTTGTGTAAATTAACTCGGATATTGTGAATGAAGTCATGGTGGAAAGGGACTTGTTTTGTTTTCCCAGCGGGTGGGTGGGGGAGGGGTGTTGGTGTTGGTGGTGGAGGGCTCTGAAAGAAGTGATTGTGTACAGCAGCTCAGCCCGTCTCTGCTTCAGTCGGGCTTTGCAGATATTTGCCTCTTTTGGGTTGGTTGTGGTGTTTGTTATAACTCAGAGATTCACGTGTTGTTTAATGTCGACTCGGTATCAGACGGTCTCGGTTCTGAAGGATCGCCCCCCCCACCTCTGCTGTATTTGACTCCTGACTGCTAACGGGGCGGAAGAGCGGGCGTGTTCATGACGGGCTTTTCTTTTAGCAGTCTCTGATCCTTTCACAAATCTCTATTTTGTAGACAAACGTGTGTGTTTATGTTGTTTTTAAGGAGTGTTCATGGAGGTGAGTGGGTTAGTCGGTTAGTGGGAGTGAACCTCTGAATCTCCTCCATCGTTTGCACTCTTCTACTGTTTGTAAATCACTGCCTTTCTAATCTACAGAAAGCATCTCCACTTTGATTGTTTGCTTCGAAGCCTGAGCCAGCTGTCAGTTGATCTGAAAATTTTTAACAATAAAAGTGATCCCAATCCAGTCGGCTTCACTCTCTTTGTTTTTACACACCGGACAAACTGCAGATATCACCCCGTGTTTGTATGAATTTGTCCGTCTGAGCTCTATCTTAAAATTACAGCTGCATTCATTAAATAAAATACATTGTCAGTTCTTATCTGATCTCATAAATGTGCTTTTGTCATGTGAAGTTAGTGAGTCTAAAATAAAAGGATTTTGTTTTAATGTAGATTTATTTCCAAACAATTACATTTTTTCTCAAATTCACTTTTTCTCGTCATAAATTTCATGTCATTAAATTAGGTATTTAATATAAATTTAAGACTAACATCTTTTATTTCTACATTTTTGTGATTTTTTTATTTATTCTCAAATTTAAATTTTTTCCCCTAAAAACTTAGTTTTTTACTTAAGTCTCAAACTTTTGACTTTTATAAATTCATAACTTTTATCCTGTAAGTTTGCGATTTTACCTTTTAAACAATTCTATACTTGATCCCCTTAAATTGAGGCATTTTTTCAGACAATTTTATTCTAATAAAATTTTTAAAACTGTCATTCTTGTACTTTAACATCTTCAGATTGTATATTTATGACTAAGGTTTGACAAACTTTCTGCATAATGCTCACAAACATGTCTTTTTACAACTTCAGTGATTTAAAAAAATTTGCCTTTGTCGTGTAAATGTGATATCATTCTTAAACTGGTGTCTTCTGTAGGCTGAGACTCATTTTTTTTATTTTAATAAAGGAGTTTTGGTCGACAAGAATATAAATATTGAATTGAAGGAAAATAGAGCGTTGAATTTTCAGTAGGTTCAGTTTCAAAACATTAATTTCAACTTTAAATCCTGCTTTTCAGGTTTAATATAATCATTAAATTTCAGTTTCTAGTGGCACAAATCTCTTTATTCTCATAATTTTAATTGAACAGTTTTTTCTCCCCCCTAAATTTTACAGTAACTCAACTTTCTTCTCACATTTGCCGTTTCTTTAAGGTGAACTGACTGCACATTCATCAACAGAAATCGTTTTTAGCCGTTTTTAGACAAAAATACAAAAACACATCCTTTAATTGGAAAAGTTTCACAAAATTAACGTGAAAAAAAGTGTTAATGTCGGTATTTTCTTTTCTTTTCTTTTAATCAAATATTTACTTTTCCTTCACCGGATATCCGCTAGTCACGTGACTCAGAGCCGCGTTCACGGCCTACCGACGCCGCGAATTACGTCCAGGTGTGCAAAAGGTAACAACGCGAGAGAACAGCGTGTCAACAATTTTATTAAAATACTGAGAAATAGGAGGATTGAGAGCGATATAAACGGAGGACAACATATTCTGAATCACAGCGCATCACGACTTTTGAGGTGAGTAAAAGAGAAGAGAAACACGAAGACGCTGAGTGGATGATGCTAATGCTAACAGGCTAACCGCGCTCGTGTTTAAGCCTAATATGCTAGTGAACAGGTACTGCTAACTGTTGTAGTACTTTATCGTTTATTAAATCAAAATGATTGAATTGGAGTTTAAGTTTTAAATTTAAAAATGTTTTTACACAAATGTGGTCAAGTTTAACCAAAAATGAACTCAAATTCTGATGATTTATTTGTTGTATTTAATGGTAAAGGCACCCACAGAGTCGATGTTTGACACATTTATACTCTGTACGTTTCACCTACAGGTCCGTCAGGTACCAGCTGAGACGGCTGGTCATTTACGAAGTTCCTGGTCCCAGGCAGTGATCGGACGTTTACAGGATGTTGAAAACCATTTGACCAATTGCAAACGAGGCCCCTCATATCACAGGTAATGTGACTGGTTCATTTTGCGTGTCGATTTTCAAAATAAAAGCACGACAAAAACACAGCGCTTTGTGGGTTGTATCAGGTGGTAGTTTGGTTCGTGCGTTTGTAGCAGAGTTTGGAGTATAATCAGCAGTGGTAGTTGTTGAAAGTAGAGGGTTAGTTGCAGTAGAAGTAGTAGTAGAATTAGTAGTAGAAGTAGTAGGAGTAGTTTAATGGGGCAAGCAAGAAAGAGAAGAACTGATGACCCCCTCCACTCCCTGCCCCCCTCCCAACATACAGTACTGTCACCCAAACACTTCACTTCCAACACACAACACCACCTAATGTGTTTAATCAATAATGAAAACTGATAGACATGAAATGCACAAATAGAAAATATTGATTAGGAATAATAAGGGAGAGCAGTTATATCAAGACTTTATTGTTATTGTACCGGGATTAAACACTTCTTTGATTCTTCTGGTGCGTTCACTGACCTGCTGGAGCCATGACCATCATCCAAACCAGCAACGTACAAATATCAACATAAAAGTGGATGATTTTTAAGGTCCCCAAATAAACATAAACTAAAACAAATAAAGTGTATTTGAGAAACCAGAAGAGTTTCAGTGTCATGACCCTCAGAGGTCACATTTTCAGTGGTTTAATAATTCATACGGTCATTCTGGTGTTCCTGAACGTAACTCTGCACAGAGGGATCTTTAATGTAACTTTCCTTTACGAGACAGTAAATTTATAGGTTTGGTTTACATCGTGTTTTAACAGATCATCTCTCTCCATATGTAACACACACGTTTCTCTGAGCTGCTGAAATACCCCAGAGTAACTCATCCCAGAAAATAAATGAGATTTTATTCAAACAAAACACAGATTTCTGGTAAAACAACAGAGAAATACTTCACTGTGTTCATGCGTCGTGCTGAACAGGAAACACGGTTGTCATGAGGAATCTTGACACAACTCTCATATTTGCGAACAGAAACACAACAGGTGGGCGGCAGCAGCTGTTCACAGGATGAGCCGTGTTAACGTAAATATGATCAGACCTGAAGACATCAGACCGACATCTGTCTGAGCAAAGACACTGTGAGCTCCACAACAGCTACAGAGATACAGATGATGACTAGGTGATAAAAACAAGTATGATTATTATTGTTACCAGATCATATCAGACTTTAGTGACGCTCTGTCATGGAGCTGCCTGCTCCTCCTGAAACCACACCCTCCTGCTCACACCTGTAACATGTTTGCTAATCACCTGCCAGTCCTTAAACCAGTCAGTCTGAGCTGTTTTTGTCAGTTCGTAGTTTGTGCTTCTGTCTGCTTCGTATCGAGCCTGCCGGTATTTTCAACTCTGCCTGTTCTCAGGTTTGGATTTTGCCCTCTGACTCTGTACTTCTGCCTGGTTGGACTGGATTTCTTTCTTTCTTTTTCTTTCTCTTTTTCTTTCTTCTCAAACTTTAAGAACAATAACAAAACTAGAAACAAAAACATGGAACAAAATAATACATCTGTACACCAAACAACTGAACATGTCAAAGATAAATTTACACACACACATGTATGTCAAAATAAAGTTTGAGAAGGAACAGAATGAAGCAGAGAGATTATCTAGTCCTGCCCCTTCCTTTCAAATTAGAGATTAAAAAGAAATCTAATAATATAAATTACAAAGATCTGAATAAATACCTTCATATTCTACACAAAGATATCTGCTCAACACCACATAGGTTACTTATTATACTTATTTGCATATTATAATAGTTGTCAGTGTTATAATATCCTGAATTAATATTATTTTTAAGCAATCAATTATATTTATTATAAAACCAACAATTTGTTTTTTTGATTTTGGGTTGGACTGTTACTCGCCCCTTTAGTACGCTGATTAAAATTCTGTTTTGGCGTTACATCTGTCTCTGTTGTTCTGCACTTGGGTCTCTTCAGAACTGCGACAGTTTTCTATATTTAGACTCATTTCTATATCAGTGTAATGTGCTTTTACATTCCCTTTAGTGATTTTCAAACAGGAAAAAATACATAAACCACGAAAACAGATTTATAATAATCACGTTAATTAACAAAATCCTCAGAGTAAAGATGAACCAATTTGCGGTTCATTTCTCTAATGATGACCTGAGAATTGAGCGGAGCTATGAGCACTTAAAAAAGTCCATGATAATTAAATAACTGACCCTTTTTCACTCAGATGTGAGTCTTAATGTCTGGAGATAATATCATCATTATCAAGTGTCCTTATTATAGAAAGATAATGATGTGATAATTGTTTATATTCAATAGTAAAAGTTTGCCCATTAAGAGCAGGTACATTTCAGTTTTCAAAATGATCATTTAAAATAGTTTTTAAAAAGTTTTATGATCGTATTTTCAGATGAAAAGACGCTCCCTTGTTTACTCCGTCTTTCAGAGAGGTTGTGGTAGCCTTTAAGGACAAGAAGCTCCGACGATGCATGTTGAATACGATTTTCTATTTGTCACATTTTTACCATCAAATGTCTTTTAATACAAACTCTTTCACACACAAAAAACTCTCAATTCTTCTAACCGATGGATCTTGTGATCATTTATTGAATTAAAAACATGTCACAGGTTCTGTTGTAGAAACATGGCGGCCTGAATTGCCTATCAGAATTTAAAATAATCTTTTTTATTTTCATAAAATAAGAAAACTGTTGGGATTTTCCGACAGAATACTAGGGCCACAGTAAGAAAAAAACAAATAAGACTTTGAGATTAAAGTCAATAATTTACAAGAATAAGTCATTACCTAAGAGAATGAAGTCGTAATCAACTATTACTATACTGATGATAATGTGGTGCTGATGTGCAAAGAGATTAAAGTATCTCCTTGTTTGAGAAAAATATATTAAAGTAGATTTTCACGAAATGCTTCATGGCTCTAATTTCAACAACTGTCATCTTAAACAGGTGAGAATATAAGGACTTTATTCTGACTTTATTCTCATAAGTTAATGAATTTAATCTCAAAGTCTTAAATTATTATTTTTTTTAATGTGGCCCTAATACTGCGTCTTAGGATTTAACATTTGATACATCGTCTTTTTTTTTTACTATTTTTAAGTAAATTTATTCTTTAAATTATTTGCAAATTTCAATCATTGTAAACGTCATTCTTATTATTTTATTAATTTAGTCTGTATTTAAACTAACTGATAGTTTCCCAGCATCTCAGCTGTTGCAGTTCCCTCAGCGGCCACTGTGAGGCAGTCTCGACACACGTATGAAGGGAGAATCTGCAGAGAAACAATCAGGCTGTTGTGATTCTTGTTTACCAACCATGGCTCCAGGGTCCAGCTGAGCCTGGCTGGAGTCAATACTGATAATAATAATAATAGTAATAATAATAATAGTAATAGTTGTAGTGTTTTAATGACGTCTGCTGGGGTTTGTAGTTTATTTAAAATTGTTCAGACTCTCTCTGTTCTCCTGCTCCTCTCTTTTATTCTTCCCCTCTTCTCTCTCTCGGCTCGTTTCCTGCGGCTCTCTCCTTTGACAGGCAGGTGTGAGAGTGTGAACGGGCTGCCCCGGAGGGGGATAGACACTGACCCCAAACCGTGAGTCTCCGGGCCCGATCAGCCGGAGCCTGTTGTGGGTGCTCACGTCCGCAGACAGCGGAGAGAGCGGCCCCACGTCAGCCCTCATCAGCTTTATTTGAGAGGATCCTTTCGCCTTAATTAGCGCAGGAGGAGAAGGAGCGCCTCATCTTGAAGGGCTGATGGAGGGTGGGAGGGTGAAGGTGCTGCTGAGGTGTGGGTGGGGGTGTCTGCAGTTTGTCTTTTAGGGCACACAGTTCAATTCGGGCTGTTCAACAGAGTTACGCTCATGACTTCCTGAAGTGGGCCTGCTGGAGCTGGCTGTGATGTCCGTTCTGTGTGGTTGTTAAGTGAAATGTCAGCGGTGAACTCCTCAAACAGACGGATCCTCAGACACGATTTGATGAAGGATTTGAAACTGCAATCACGGCCAAAGCCCTCCGCTGAATCGCAGCATCTCTGGACAATAACAGGAGTCACTGTATCCCCCCCACCAACACGCCATCTGAGCTAAAACTGAAGGTCATCTCCATGGAAACTTTGCTGTTTAAATTGGAGTATGTTTAATCCCAATCCTCCGGCACCTGAAGACATTATCGCCGCAAATCCCTCCGCCAGTCATCAAAGCGATGAGCTGGATGCCCTTTAAGGCCGGCTCCAACCAGGCGGCTGCAGAAAACCGGTTTCTAGGGCTGCTCCTAAAATACACCCGACAGACCTCAGACCTCCTGAATGTCCCACAAACGGACGGATCTGTGATTGGTTTGTTTGCAGCGAGGGGAAGAGTGTTCTGCTGTTATCGGAGAGGATTTATCCGTTTTGTTTTTTTATTTTAGTGTCCGAGAAAGATTGAAATCCTCCAAAAAAACTCACCTGCTGTCACATCATGTTACCATAAGTTTGTCAATACCTGCCTGTTAGTGTTGGGCGGAATGAACAAATCTTATATCATGGTATGAGTAATTTCATATCACGGTAACAGTATATATCACAGTATGTTTTTTTTTTCCCTGTAAATTCAATTAATGTTTTAAAAATAACCAAACTGTCTCATTTGTTAATTTTCCTTTTATTGTCAGACCAGTCTGGCGATGTTCTATCATATGGCGTACCTTTGGCGAAAGACTCTGCCGAGCTCTTTTGTCTTAGAGGAGTTTTCATCTTTAGGTTGTGGAAGAGGTTTCTGGTGTTTCCACCTCCAACAACGACAGCCACACGACACTCTTTGTATAGTTTTAGTTTTTTGATCACTGTCGGATTTTCTAAATCCGAAGAATCTCCAGACAACCGATGTCGTGACTCGCACCCTTTTTCGAAACGAGTTCCTCCTCTTACACGTTTGGTGGGTCGGGCTGCCTCCGTTTGTTCGGTACTGCCACTAATCTCCGCCCCCGCCATGACCACCACTAGTGAAGCTGTTTCTTCTTCACACGCTGGTGATTATAGGGAGCGCACCCGAACCTGACTAATCAAACGGAGCGAACAAACTCCGCACGACACACTGGTGAATATACGGAAACGCACAAAACATCTGCTCTCTCTCTCTCTCTCTCTCTCTTCGGTATAAACTGTAAAGCAAAATTTCTGCCTGTAGACACTTTTACACCGTCACACGGTGGTGGAGCCATTCTTTAGTTCACCTGTGTGGCGCTGTGGAGAGGACCAAAGGACATTTAAGGTGCCCACAGATTACTAGAGGTGTTGCTGTGGGAGCAAATGATAGACGATAGATTTGAGGAAAAGAAAGCAAACTTGTTGAAAAACAGGATGCAGGACACGGCCAGCGAGGTCATGTCGACCTGAACTTGTCACACATCGAAATTTGGCAGAACCGGCCAGCGAGCAAAACATGTTTACAGAAGAAGTGACTTTGTTGGCTGTCAAACACCAACGTGAAGGCCACTTACGGGAAGATAAGAACAACTACTGATGTTATTGGAGTGTATAAATTGTTTGGGATTGTTTGGCTTCTGCTGTCCGTCTGATTGTCATGAGCTGTGGTTGATGCTGGAACGATAATAAATCCTGCGAGAGGCTGCCAGCTTGATTCTGTCTTCGTGAAGTTCATTTTTGCACCTTTGCATCTATGAAATCGACCATATTGCGCCCAAGAAGCCTTTTGTTTTTGGGACCACAGGCTGGCGGCTGGAATTTGTTTTGGATTGATTGGTTTATGGTGCAAAAGAATAAACGGATTGGTATATCCAAATCGAGTCTTTTCTGCCTACAGAACTTTGATTGTCTTAAACTTAATGGAGCAAGTAACAAATGGACACTCAGTGGACAAACAAAAACTAGCTGAGGCTGCGAGTGAATAACAGGTACGTCACCACACAGTATATACCGTCATACCGCCTAACTCTTCTGTCCATCGTGTTACATATGTTTACCTCCACTATCTAGTTTAACTAGAAAGTTGAGGTGAAGGGGGTGACTCACGAGGCCGTCAACATTAATGTTGGGACAGTGAACATCTCATCTTGGAAACCCTGGACTGGAGGTTCCTGGACTTAAAGAGTCTCTCCAACCTCATTGAAACAGAGACCTAAACCGAGGAGTTAAAGGAGCTGATTGGTGGTCGCTCTTTCCTCGACTGTCACTATTTGGCTCATCGTCCGGCGTCTTTATGAGGACAAAGAAAAGCTTCGTTGATAACCACCGTCTTTGTTCCATGATCTGTGGTTTGAGATCTGGTTTTTGCTGATCCAGGAAACTCAAAGGAAGCCTGAGTGTGGGGGACTTGATTTGTAGTCGACTCTCTTCTGTTCGTCTTGGATTGAACTCCGATTGAAAGGAACCGTTTTCTCTTGTCCGGACTGTCTTGGCAGTCCTGAGCTTTGGATTCAGTCCCTCTGAGGAAAAACTACCTCGACAAGTTGTGTGTCCAGACTGGAAATCTACTTAAAAACCATCGATCAGCTGCTCCCGGCGCGGTGACAGCCGATAGCCCTGATTGGAGCGGACACGGCGACCAGTGGTTGAAAACAAACAAACACATGCGAGCTCAAAGACGGCGCGGCGCCCAACATCAAATACTTGTGCCATTGTGGGGAGGGAACAAAAGCGCTCGGGGGGAATGAGAGCGTGTGAGACGTTGGCTGTGTTTACAAGCGCCCGGGTCCTGGCTGGTCGGCCCGGGTTCACCAAACGGTCACCGGTTCTGAGGTCTCCGGGTCTCAGGTCTTTTTGAAAAAGATCTGTGAAGCAGAATTAAAGTGATCTACCTCCGGACTCCGGACGGAGAACCATGAGGGCTTTTGGGTCTTTGAAACGGGGGAGAGGAGAGAGAGAGAGAGAGGGGGAGAGAGAGCAGGGGGGAGGAGGAGAGAGGGAGGGAGCCGGGGGGGAAAAAGAGGAGAAGAAGAATTATGTTTAATGAGTGTGTTCCTCTGCCTGAGCTACTTTGAAATGTGACTAAATGGCCCACCTTCTGTGAGGCCGGACCCTGGCTCGAGGGCAGAGAGGAGCCCACCGAGAGAGAGAGGGAGAGAGGGGGAGAGAGATGAGTGTACAGCCAACAGTCCCTCCACTTTACCAAGGTAACAGCATGTGGAGGTGAATCAGGTCTCTGTACACTCTGCCTCACACACAGTTTGTGCACCATGCATTTATTTTTCTACTCAATGCAAAAGTTCACAACATGAACGAATCAACGCCGGGGTCATCGAGCGCTGAGAGAAAACATGGAGTTCCCCAAAAACAAGACAAGAGCAAAGAGAGAGCAGGACCTGCTGCTCGGTGTCTGTCAGGAGGTCAGAAGGTCACATCGTTATGCTTCGACCAATCATAGACCCCCGAATGTCATGACGTGTTTGGTTCATTTAGTTTTTTTCATGGTCCGTTTTGTGTATTTTCTCGTGTTCCTGTTCCCCTGTAGTCCAGCCTTGTGAGTTCTCAGTTTGTCTTTGACCCTGTTTCCCTCCTCTTCTCTGTGTTTTATTCTCACCTGTTGCTCGTTTGCCTGTCTGTGTATATAGTCACTGTCTTCTCCTCTGTCCTGGTTAGTCCATTGTGTGTCTGTGTTTGTCTGTAGGTCGATGTCAGTGTATGTTTGGATCCTGGTTAGTCTCCTTGAGTTTTTTTTCCTTTTGGATTTTATAGTTGGACACTTCACAGGAACAATAGTGAACAGAAACACACAGAAACACGAAACCAGGAGAAAACTAAATCAACTAAATTTCATGACAGTTAATTAAAGAGGAGCACCAGTTTCAACAATGCCATGATTGTCAGAAGGTTTGAGGTGGAGATCAGTCAGAATCTATGTGCATAGATGCTCACATCACTATTTATATCAACAGAAAAAGGTTCAGTTACAAAAACATCGACATTTGGAGCCGTAGACACCAAACATGAACAAAATCATTTCCATGTAAAGTCGGTTCAAAGACGCTTTAGATGAAAATTAAGTGAATTACACACAAAAAACACAAACTCATGCTGCGTTCAAGGTTCTGGTTTCATTCAGATCTTAGCGACAGTTAAATGATCGGAAATCAGTCGTACTGCGATAGCCAATCAGCACGGAGAGTTATGCAGTATGTTTCTATGACACTCAAGAAAACCGAATTATCGCCTTATTCCGATTAAGACCCAACAACTGAAGGTCATGTAAACATCTTAGTCCGACTATAATCAGAGTTTGAGAACTTGGGTTATGACGCCCAGATAATGCGACTCGAATTCGATTTTCTCTACCATGTCACCAGCGTAGTCGGAGTATGATCAGACAATGCATGTGTGCGTGCGCCACACCCCCATAACCCGGAACAAAAACCCCAGAGTAGAGGAGTAGCGTTGGTCTCCTCTTTAGAAAAAGTAGCGCGTCCATCATGTCGGACAAAAACAACGCTGTACGATGCTCCATCTTCTTGCAGCAGTTGTAGACACTTCTGACGTCTGACACCGACCTGCTGTTGTTGTTGACGGTTGGATGGGGTCGGAAACAGCGCCGCTGAAAAGACCCATATCGCCCCCTAGTGTTGGGGAGGAGGACACGCTCACGTCAATAATTTGATTTTCTCAGCTGTATGTAAACGAGGACGAGGAGAGAAGTCCGGTTTGGCCAAAAAAAACGAATGAACCTGAGCATGTAAACGCTCTGATGGTGACGGAGGTCAACAATGGACCAATGGCGGTTCATTCATCTTGACAGTGGAGGACAAACTTAAGGCGACCTTATGAGTCTACCTGAACTATACGATATGACTCCTTGTTTCTATGGAAACAGATCCTCGTAGTGACATCATTGAAAATTAGGGAGCGTGATAGATTTATTGATTTATTTTCAGATTAAGTAAAAGGAGATTACCATGGTAACCTGCTGTTTTAGTGCAGGTATTAATTAAAATATGAATTGAAATGGTTTTTAAGATTCTCATCCAAACAGAGTCATGGACATTAAAGAAAAGAGCTTGAAATGAGAGAAATTGTTCCTTTTTGACTGTCTGCCTTTAACAATAATGTGGTCTGTAAATAAGCTCAGGTATAATCTCCAACACACTGGTTATTTGTTTGCTCTTCCAATCCCTCTAAGCGTTTCTTAAATGAAAGAGTCGGTAAAGACGCCGCCGCTCTGCCAACAGATTTCTTGAACAATATGAGCAATGTACCCGATAAACAACACATTTCAGATGTCATAACTAATTATTGGTGGATCAATTCCAAGTAAACACGCTTTGAGCCAACATACAGCATCGACTCCACCATATGTTCGCCGCGGTTTTCACCTCCTTCCCAGTTTGTGAAGAAGAAGAAAGTGTTTACAGCATTTCTGTTTCAGAAGCCTATTTTTGTTCTCCCCGCAGGATGAGCGGGACGGTATAGAGGGACGAGCTGTTAGTCGAATTAACCACACTGCTGCTACTGCGGCGAGGCGGCCGATTCTGAGGCGTTCACAGAAATGAATGTGCACAGATCTGTTGGTTTTTAATGGTTATTATGGTCAAATCAGCATTTAAACATTAACCATGATGCTGTTAGGGTTTAGAAATTTGTCTAACAACCATAATATGAATTTTAGATTTAATCACAAACAGCCAAAATCAGACTTTAAACCAAGAAGTCTGTGAAAAAAAAACACGTCAGGATTTCTACTTAAAAATCAGAATTCAGATTTAGATTTCAAAATATTGATATGATTTATATATATATATATATATATACATATATATATATATATATATATATATATATACAGTCGTGGTCAGAAGTTTACATACAGTGCATGTTCCTACACTAAATCTCGTGCTAAATTCAAGTTACCAACTTGAATCATAAATAATCTAGCATCCAGGAAGCCCTAGGATTAATGCTTTTGGGAAATAAAAAGAAAAGGCAAAAATTCCTCATAATTCAAGATTTATTGATATTTCTTTGCAGAACACTGCTTTGTTATTGGGTCATAAGTTTACATACACCTTTGTCTTCAGGGCTTAGTACTTGGTAGCATTTCCATTAAGTTTTATAACTTCAGCAAGTCGCTTTGGATAGCCATCAATGAGCTTCTCACAGTAATCCTTTGGAATTTTTGACCACTCTTCCTGGCAGATTTGGTACAACTCAGTCAGATTTGTTGGTCTTCTCTTACGGACTCGTTTCTTCAGTTCACTCCAGATATTCTCGATAGGATTGAGATCAGGGCTTTGTGGATGCCACTCCAGTACTTTCACCTTGTTCTGCTGAAACCATTTTGAAACTAATTTTGCAGTATGTTTCGGATCATTATCTTGTTGAAAGATCCAATTTCGACCAAGCTGCAGAGATTTGACTGACTTCTTGAGGTTTCCTTGCAATATTTCCAAGTATTGCTCTTTTCTCATGATTCCATTGATCTTCTGGAGTTCACCAGTTCCTGATGCTGCAAAGCAACCCCACAACATGAGACTTCCTCCACTATGCTTGACCATGGGGATGGTATTGTTGGGATTGAAGGCTTCACCCTTTCGCCGGAAAACGTACGAACGTCCGTCCAAAACCCCGGACATTTGAAGGATTTTATGAACTCCCCGGACAAAGCCAGACAGCCCCCCAAAAGAGGACATGTCCAGGTAAAAGAGGATGTATGGTCACCCTTTGTTTATATAAAGTTGACAGATATATGTAAAGTTGACATTCAGACTTTTGTCTTAGTACCTACAGATTAAACTCAGAGTTCTGCTAAAAAAGTCAAAGTTGATAAATCCGCTCAGCATTTATTTGGAGAGCCACTCTCAGAGTAAAGATAATTAAGTATAATTTACTGCATTTATTCCAAAGTCAAGACTCTGGTCAGACCTGGTCTGATCACAGTTAAGTATTGATAGTCTCTGTCATGTCGGTCAAGTTTTTCTTTTATTTTTCACTAAATTCATGTTGGTTAAGTTTCCTTTATTTCTGCACGTTTTGTTTCATTTCCTGTTTTATTTTGAAATCTCTAACCCTTGTTTTTATCCTCTAGTTTTGTTCCTGCGTGGTCTGCCCCGCCCCCGTCTCATCACACCTGACTGCCTTATCGTGTACCGACCTTTACCTGAACTTCATAAAACCATGTCTGTTTAGTTAGTGTCTGTGTGACTGACTGAACAGGTGTCTTTGTTGTTGTGTCCTCCAGTCTGTCCTCTGGTTTTATCTGAACTTTGGATCAGGGTATCATAAATATAAAGACACAAACTGAATATCCTGTTTGGGCTGAAAATACAGAAAACAAACTTCTTTATTTTTCATGGAAACTTTAAATCCCCACCCTGGTCCTGACCCGCCTGAACAGGTCCTGCAGTTGTGGACCCGTTTGCCTCCTCCTGCTCCAGCTCTGAATCTCAATCTGACTTTTATTATCATTATCATAATTGTTAATGAGAATCTAGGAGCTGCTTTAATTGATAGTCTCAGTCCTCGTCCGATTACCTTCATTATAGTTATTAATGTTTATGTTGGACCGATCAGCTGATCATCATTCTTTGCTGCTTCAGTGAAAATCACACAGACTTTGACGGTTATTACCGACACTGTAGCATAAATCTGTTTTATCTGTTATTATTGTTTACCTCTCTCTCTATCACAGTCACAGATGGCTGTTAAACACCAGTCTGGTTCTGCTCGGATCTGCGCTACTCTCTGAATGCGGAGGAGTATTTTTTACTCATGGTGGTTGACAAAGGCCCCGTTTATACGTACTCGCTTGTTTTTAAAAACGGAGACATTAACCATTGTTTGCACCCTTTGTTTAGACGCAAACAGAGAATTTGCCCCTGAAAATGCTGCTTTTTAAAAACCCCGGCCAGAGTGGAGCTTTTGGAAAATTCTGTTTGCACGTAAACTGAGAAAAGCTAACGGTTGATTGTGCGCAGGAAAGAAGAAAGTGACGTTGTTGTTGTTGTTGTTGCTAGGACTGCTAGGAGGATGTGGGATTTTGATTGGCTGCATGCTAGTGGTGTGCATGCAGTTGTTTTTTGTAATCGGAGAGGGTTAAATGTCTGTTTATGAAAATAGCCGGACACGTGTAAACGTAGTCTCAGTGTAGCTGCTGCCTGCAGGACTGTCACAGCAGGATGGATGGATTAGAAATATGGCACAGCTGCTGATAAAGACATCTTAACATTAGACATCATATACAACACGTGTGTGTGATTATATTTGGAATAATGAGTTAACAATATCTGCGGCATATTTGTGATAAAGTGCACTTTGATGCAGCAGCTGTAAGTAATCATCACTGACTAGTTACGTCAGCTTTTTCAATCTGTACATATTAAGCACATATTTCCTTTCTCCGTTTCTTCAATTCTTCTTCTGCAGCTGCTGCAGGACTGTAATGACTACATGCAGCTTCTTAATTAGCTTGACGAGGATCAGCAGATCGCAGGAGGAACACACACGTGTGTTGTGGCTGCAAATAGAGCAAAAAATAAAGAGCTTGATGGCAAAGTGCTGAAAAAAAAAACTTCATAAACTGAGATGAGTGTTTGGGTCAGAGTCTGTGGAAAGCTGTAGTCCAGCCTGTACCATCTATTTTTAACTTTATCACTGTCGTTTAATTCCATAATATCTCATTAAAGGGAAAGAGTCGGCGTGTAAACGAGGCTACAGCTTTCTGCAGACTGTCCAACTCTGCTGCTTATTTAACTCATTTTGGGACACAAGATGACACAAAACAGATGCAACATGCTCTTCCACCTGCGGCGCTCTAACTGCTTGCTAGCTTGTAGTCCTGGCTTCTGCGTGTCTCCCCGTAAGCATCAACTTCATTCCAAAGACGTCAGAAATGTACAAATAAAGACGATAAAGCAGGAGAAACATTAACATTAACCATGTGTCTCCAAACTGGTCCAAATCATAGACTGTATCTAGAATGGACGCTGTCTGCCTCTTCGCTGGGTGAGAACAGCACCCCCTGGTGACGGGCTGCAGTATAGGTCATAAACCCTGCCTCCTCCAGCAATCTCTATGGAGCTGCTGACAAACTTTATAAATTAATTACAAAGAATATGAATTTTACTCCCCCCTGGTTGCAATGTTGACGTGTAGTTACAGTCATACAGTCATCATCTACTCGGATAATTCGCACGAATCTAGAAGTGTGAATGCATTTTCTTTGCTTGCTTCACTCGCATGTCAACAGTAATTTCAACAGGAAGTCCCTGCCAATTAAACCGGCGGGAATTAACCAGATAATCCGACCTCCTCACTTACTTGCCTCCGGGCGAGCTCCTTTTTATTCCGGTTTTGGGAATTGAAAGAAAAGGTATCATACCACACACACCGACACAATCTGTTTGTTCTCCATTTTAGATACCAGTGAACAACTGGTTATCGCGATGCAAATATCTGCTCAAGTTGAGACATTTTCAGCTCCCGCCCACTATGTGTCATTCACGCCTCCAGAGTAGTAGGAGCGTCTAATCGCATCTTTGCATTGACTTAACATGTAATTCATTTGCGTGAATGATTTTACTTGCGCTTGGGGTGTGGAGACAGTAAAACTAGTTTGTGCTCAAGTCCTCTTTTCCTCCATTTTTAAAAGTTATTAGGGGGTTCATGTTTTCTATGATTGACACCTGATACAGCCTATGGGAGTACAGAGATTGCGTAGCTCACCCGGGGGATACGCTGTTTGAGCCGAGCGTCATCACGGCGACTCTCCCGCTGAATTCGTACAACGCTACCGTGCAAGTGGTGGTTCCAGGAAGAGCAATTCAGCTTCGAATTCATATAATGACGAATAAAGGCGGAGCTAAGTTGTCCATAATAGATACAGTCCACGGTCCAAATATCTGCTCAGGATTCGGCTCACAGCCCATGTCTGAACTTTCTTAAAGCGACAGTAACCCTTGAGCAGTACATCCAATAATAACACTCCATCCATTACAGCATTGCTGCTTCAAAACCACATTTTAAACCTCTAAATTATAAGCTAACATTATAAACTATGCACAAAAACCATAAATAAAATAAGCCCTGAGTTTGTCCTCGAACACTCGCTTTAGTTAAAACCAGTTTGTGCAGCAGAAACATCATGTGTCCTGCAGGGATCTTTGACATGCAGCTGCAGGAGGGAGACAAAGTGACAGAGAATAATGTGATTTACTGTCCAAAGTGCATCCAGAGGATTTGACTGTCACAGCGTCCATAACCGACACACTTTTGTTTGCTGAATGAAATAATAATGTTCTACTTCTAGTTCAGCCCAGTCCTGTTGTCACTTCAGTTTTATTGGAACAAATCTTTGCACATGCAAAAACAGAACATGTCAAAAGGACAGGCTTGGTTGCACTAAAAGTCCACAAATATAAAGAGAGAGGGAGAGCGCGGTCCTCCTGAGACGGTAGCATGGACTGTGTTGAGGGAAGAGAGAAAGGAGGTTAACAAAAGAGAGGAGTGGAAAGCAGAGCTCGGAGCCAAAACCAAATCACATCAGTAACCGCTGCGCCCCGGGGTGAGGGCAGGCTCAGTCAGCCGTGCCGTTCAACCGGGATAATTAGTTTTGGAAAGGAATATCAACTGATATAATTGAGCATTCTCCGCTAATGAAGATCCTCGGTGTTGTCACTGGTGAGGCGCTAATTGACGGGAAAGGGATGGATTGGGTGGGTGCAGGGAGGAGGGGGGAGGCTGTGCAGGATATGATGGTGGAAGTGCCGCCGGAGCTGGCGAGCCGATGTTTTTCAGGTTCCACGGATTTTATTTAGTCGTCAGTGAGTCACCGTCTGCTTTCATCCGGCTTGTTAGCGTGTTTACGACCAGCTCGTCTCTAACTTCTGCCAGGAGATGAAAGACAAGTCGCCGCAGTTACGACAGATAAGAGCCGCGCGGGAGGGGGCGGGGTCTAGAGGAATCACAGGAGTCCACAGGATGGGGGTAGAGCGGGTTTAGGGGTTGCACAGGTCGCGTTGGGAGTTTCGATTGAGGGAAGCAGAGGGTCGAGGATTTGCGGAGGGAGGGCCGAGAGGAGGGGTGGTGGTGGGATCAGTTGAGGGAATAATAGGAAAGCAAATTGGTTTTGACAAGTTTGGGGAGCTGGAAGTAATGAAGTCCTTTAAAAGGGGAGATGAGGGAATATCCAGCAAAACTATGAGATAATCAGGGGAACCGTTCAGGGGAGGGACTCGAGCCAAAACACGGGGCCTGCTGGTGACCTCGAGGAGCCTGTGGGACAGGGTCAGCGCTCCTGTCCGGCCTGGAGGGGGCGACGCTGTGAAGGAAGAGGTGGAAAAGTGAAAGCTGGGCTGTTGTGTACGAGGATTTTCACAGTAACCTTCAGGTATGAATAAATCAAACGAAGAAAAGTTTCATTAGAGCTTTTTTATCAGGATGTTTCAAACATCCTTGGAAACTCAGACACAAAGAGAAGCTCTGCTCGGTGACAGACAGTCAGATATTCACAGAGCTAGACAGACAATTCACATCAAATCCTCCATCAAACAGCGCAGGAATCAGGCGTCTATCCCAACAGCAGGCCATCTGCCAGATCAGCTCCGCCGGCAGCCAGCGAGACAGAGCGTCCGCAGCAGCCAGCGTGGAGACAGACTGACGCAGAGTGAGCAGCTGAGGTGTTTGAACACAAACAGAGGATTAACGGAGTTCTGGGCACAGAGGTGACGGTAAATAAAACACCAAACAGGCCCACGCTGCAGGACGGCCGCTCCAAACACTCCAGTGATTTCACACTCATTTTAAATTAATGTAGGTGGGTGATGGAGTCATCCTGCAGCTTCCAGCTCTCCAGTTCTTTCTGGAGCGGCTTCAAAATGCAGAGCAGGAATCGGTGTTGGACTCAGACGGGGCGATGGAGGAGTTCTGCACAGAAGAGGCAGAGGCTGATCTTTCCTTCGCCTGAAATTGGAAATTCCTGGCGGTGTCAACAAGAAGGATAAACCGTCAAGATAAAGTCAAATATTCAGTGTTCGTCGGCTGACACCTGCACGCCTCGATCTCGCTTTCAGATAATGCCTCGTACAACAGACACGTGGAAGAGTGCCGCCGCCACAACCCCGTCAACCCACAAGTGTCTGATCTAGGAGGCAATTTACTGTTTTTGTCAAGCTCGGTGAAATCTGAACGGAAATAAAACTCACACACACGTACGCACACACAGACACACACTCCTCTTTGACAAACTGCCACATCTCCTGCCAGATCTCTGTTCAACATTTGCTCTCGCCCTGCGTTGCGAGCTTCGCTGCGCTCGGACACCTGGACCAATAAGTCTAACAATTGAAACATGCACAGGTCCAAATGTGCACAAAACAACAAGTCGCTCTCTTATTTGGATTTATTGAAGCAGCGGGTCGGTGTGGTACCGAGTCCAGGAAAGAGCAGCAAACCCACTCTGAACTTTTATCAGGAGAGTTTGAATCAACAAAAGGCAATTCAGTGAGAAACAGGTCTGCGATTACTCTCCTCAGAGGAAACACGACTCCAGTCTGAGCGTGTGAAAGGGTGAGCGGAGTGAATCTAACCAAGACTGGATGGTCCTGACCTTCAGGGCCTCAGTAAGCATTAAAAACAGACAGGACTCTGGAGTGGAGGTCACCGCATGCTTCACAAAACTCCTCATAAGCGTGTTTTTATGAGATACAACTGTAGAAGGATTTGATACGGCGCAGCGAGCGATCCCTCGATTCAACAGTCCGTAGATGTTTGCCTCCTCTCCGTGTTTTCCATGTGACTCCATATCCCTTCACATTAGTGCAGTCCGCCGCAAAGTAGCTGCAAGAATCAGCACGCGGTCAACTGTGGCGGGGAAAAAAGAGGGGAAGAAAGAGAAAATATTTAAGGCCTTGCTCCCTCTGTCAGCTTTCACCTCCTTTCCCTTCTTGTTCTTGTTTTCACAGCCCTTAATCCTGGCGGCTCCGACGCGGAGCGGTCACAGGTTTTGACAGCAGACTGTAATGACCTAAGCTGTTCTCTGCGGGGGGTGGGAGGGGGGAGCCGGGTGAGGTGGTTCAGGAGGGGGAGTGAGCAGAAACAGGAATGTTTAATGAGAGGTCACTCGGCATTTATTTGAAGTTGGAGTGCAGTTTCACTTCTTGGCCACCGGGGGCGGAGGGGCTGAGTTTAGAGGTCCTGTTTGGGAACGAAGAACAACATGTCATGGAGCTCAGATCTGAAGGTCATAGATCAGTCTCCTCCATGTGAACCGATGGAACATGGGTCAACCTGTAAAATGAAAACATAAATTTAAACATGATCTCATAAACAGACTATCAGAAAGACGAGGAAACAACTGTCAATTCGTACGTTTACATGACACTCCAGAAAACCGAATTATCGTCTTATTCCGACAACTGAAGTGCATGTAAACACCTTAGTCCTACTATAGTCGGAGTTTGAGAACTTCGATTAGAGATCATACGACTGGAATTTTATTTTCTCTACCATGTAACCAGCGTAGTCTGAGTATGATCGGACAATGCATGTCCCCTTACGCCAGCGTTGGTCTCATCTTTAGAAAAAGTAGCGCGTCCATCATGTCAGACAAAAACAACGCTGTACGATGCTCCATCTTCTTGTTTCTCCAAAATGCCCAGCAGCAGTTGTAGACACTTCTGACGTCTGACACCGACCTGCTGTTGTTGTTGACGGTTGTATGGGGTCGGAAACAGCGCCCCTGAAAAGACCCATATCGCCCCCTAGTGTTGGGGAGGAGGACACGTTCACGTCAATAATTCAGTTTTCTCAGCTGCATGTAAACGAGGACGAGGAGAGAAGTCTGATTCAGAGAAAAAAAAAAAAATTATGAGTTTAGTCTGATTAAACTGAGACTGTAAACATACTGAGTGATTTCTTAAGGATTTCCCAAAGTGATTAATTTATCAGTTATTTGAACAAAAATCTATATATATTATTGTTCTATTGACTATGTCTATTTTATTTTAAGTTGTTGAAAAGATTTCATTTAAAAGACGATGTTTTTAATTTAATTTACTCCGTTTAGAGAAGATTTGGCCTTGAGTAGCGGGGAAGTCGTCTGATAATTTTTGTTTATCAAAGCTTACAAAGTCTGAACATCTGAAAACTTTGTTTCTAGACTGTAATGACGACATCTTTAGTGTCACAGTGTTGTTACCTGTAAGAGTGGGGGTTATGTACAATAAGAGAGCCGTTACACCTCTGAAGTGGAGGTATCGTTGTGTTTATGGTTTATAAACTCTGATAAAACAAAGACCGCTGTAAACCAGCTGAGCACCAAAATACCTCTCCTGGTTTTAGGCTGTGAACACGGAGCATTTCCTCCTCTTCAAATGGAAGGTGAATGTCACTCGTAACCCTGACAGCTTAATTGGTACACGGAGCCCTTGGTTGCCATGCAACTGTTGGCTAAGGTGGAAGTAGGGATATTTCTGAAAATATAAATATAAAACTCAATAATGACAGCATTTAAAGAAGAGAAGGGTCCAATTTAGAAATCAATAGGAGCAGGAGCATGTATGTCTGCATATAGACCACATAGTTACCCGGGTTTATTGACAAGTTACTGCTGTGATTGTCACCACGGTTCATGTCCGATTTAGCACCTCAACCACACTTCAATCAGCATGAGCGTTTTCCTCACAGGTATAAGTGACGGGCTCCGGCATCGAGGTGAGACCAGGAGGAGGACCCGGACTGAGTTTGACAGGGTCTACAAAGAACAGCACTTTTTTTCTGTCTACTGTGACTGATGTGGTCTGCAGGGGGCGCCCAAAACTTCACAATCTGGTTCAAACTGTGAACTTCGACCATGTCCAGATTCAATGATGACCATTTCAACAATATGTGTTCTATGAGCAGAGCGAGTCAAAGTCTATTAATCTGTAAATTAACAAATTTAACTGTTAACCATCAGGATGAGCAGGAATAGACGATAAATCGTGATTGTATTTAATCGTTAAAGTTTATCAAGTTATTTGTTGCTCCATCTTCATCTTACCTTTTCACAATCTGACTGACCGTCTTGTTTTATCGAGTTTTTCGTAAATATCCTAATACTGCAGTTATTTGGTCGTCAGGTCAAATCTAGAATTGTGAATCTGGATCACTAAAAGAGCCGGAATCCTCAATAAGACGGATCCAAAACCTGCTCTGACATGGTAAGACGGATCACAGACAACCCGAGCAGGTCCGTAATCCGCCACAAAATTTCCCCCACAAATGGATCTAGTGAAATTCGGCGGACGGTGAAATTCGGCGCCGTTCCGGATCGGATCCGTTCTGGATGCGGTAGAAATTGGGGGTTAGTGGACTCTCTTCATTAGGAGCACAGTCGGACACGTTGATGTAAACTTTGTTGGATGATTTTAGATATTTTTACTTCCACGGACTCACTGAGGAGGGTTAAAGGTTCGATCTGGATTGTCTCGCCTCTTCTCTGTTTTCTTATCCTCCTTTTTTTTCTTTTTTTCTTTCTTGACTCCAGACGAACCAACAAACGAAGTGGTGAGCCGGTGAACATGTTGAATTCAGAGGGACGGATATTTCAGGGGCAGGAGCCAGACCACATATAAATGATAATTTTGCCCCATGACAGCCGGTTGAACAAACAGTTAGCTGTTTGCTAACACTAATAACACAACCGCCTCCAAACGGTGTAAATATGTCTGTATTGTGACTAAAGCTTGTGCAGTTATTCCCAAGAGCTGAAAAACTCAATTAAAAACGGTCGGAGGGAAATGTTTCTGTTTCTTGACACGGTTTGTTTAAAGGACGTGTAATGTGGTGACTGTGGAAACTTCTGACAAGCTCATTTGCTGAACCTCTCTGCTGCTCGGGTTTGTGTTTATGTATTCTGTTTGCCTGCACGTCCCCGAACGGTTTGAGACACGCTGTGACCCAACACTGATGGTCAAGCGAGATGGTTGAGCTGAAATAAATTGGGGTGAAATCTGGCAAACCTGTGAGCAGCTCTGGCACAGCCGCCCGGTGACAGTCCGCATAATTCTGAACAACAAATCCTGAGAAATGAGGCATTAAGAGGTGACGCCTGATGCATGTTTCATCGCCGTGCTTTAGGTTGGAAATTAAAAAATGCACCACATCCCAGCTCCTCCTCGGCGGCAGCGCTGAACAAATATTCCAGTATTGAAATTCAGTGTTGTTCACCTTCAAAAGATTTGTTCTTCACTGCTGTTAATGTAATTGCTTTCTGCCCCCCGGTTCACGGGAATAAAATGTCTGAGGTAATAAGACTTCCTCTCTCTCCTCGTGCTCAGGAGTGGATGCTCCATCACTCCGGCCCAGACTGGACCTCTTTTCTTTCATTTCATCCTAAAAATATATGAATGTTTATGAGGTTTGAATTGCTCTGCTTTGTTTATCAGTTTCCTTCCACCTTCTGTTCTTCAAATCTATCTTTACTCCCCTCTCTCTGTCACAAACCTCGTCTCATTAGTTTCCATCCCAGCACAGGACGCCCGGCTCTGCCTCCTTTTTATTGAGCCTGCAGCTTATGCAAACTATAGCGGGCACGATGTTCAGATTATAAAGACCTATTCCCCTGGGCTGAAACCAGTCAAGTCCCTTATATGAGATAGAGAATGGCAGACTTAACCCTGTGCCTCCTTATATACCAATCAAGTAGATAAATAAAGGTTTAATTAAGAAACGCTCCTCATGGGGTGAGAGGGCTCTGGAGGACGGGGGAGGGGGATTGGAAAAAGCACAAGAGGCAATACTTGAGTGTCAGCGATGGAGTAAAGCACAATAAAGGGATATTCATCACATCTGCGCGGGCCCACCGGCTATTGAACGCCACAAACAACCTCAGCCACTCATAATACGAGAAACCCCATTACCGCTCGGTCATTATAAAAAATATATTAAATTATCGATCCAATTATTTTGCATTTTATCACCTCTCCGAAAGAGCCGAATGCATCTTCTAGGTGAGGCATCAAGATTAATTGCTGTGGAAATTAATTTGCAGAGTAATTCTCATCATAAGCAAAATTACATTTTTGCTTTATCAGGATGAGTCAGGGTGTTTGTTGTGCGCTCGTCCTCTTTTCTGCTGCAGCTACGACTCTGTGGGCACAAGGACAGAATCCAATCTGTTACACGCTTTCTATTAATTTAGCTTTTTTCAAATGCCTGCATGCAAAATTCATCTCAGTCAGTCAGTCAGTCGTGCACACTGGATGAAAAATGCAGAGAAGCAAAAGAGCCAAGAAATGTTTTTTTTTTCTTTCTATAGTTTAAATGAGACGAAGTTGGAGAAAAGAAAAGAAATCAGGACCGCGCTTCAAATCCCGCAGTTTTAACTCTTATTAAAACACCCCATCAAACACCATCTATCCTGCAGTTTAGCAAATCTTTTGGCAACGCGTCAACCTGCCAAATTAGTGTCCACCGATCAAACAGTCTGAGGCTGTTTTCACACTTTAAGCTTATTTACTTTGTTCTGACTCAGACAGGGACGCCATCACAGTGAGGCGCTGACTCTACTCTCTGCTGTGCATGTTCATATAATGTTTGGCATTCAGCATTTTAATAAGACAGGAAATATAGGGCACACAATCTGCAGGCATAGACTGTGTAAAAAGTGGGCGCAGCATCGGTGACGTCATCCATCTGTTTGTGACGTAATGTTGCCGCACCTTCGGTCCACCAATCAGCGTCAGTTGTGCATGTGATTCGCCAATCACTTAACCTTAATAACTTAACCTTAATAACTTAAAATAAATAAATGTTATAATAATAATAATAGCAACAACAATTAAAATAACAATAATGATAATGATAATCATAACAACAACAACAACAATAATAATAATAATATAAATAAAAAGGATAATCATAACAACAACAACAACAATAATAACATTATTAATAAAAAGGATAATCATAACAGCAGCAACAACAATAATAATATTATTAATAAGGATAATCATAACAACAATAACAATAATAATAGTAATAATGACAATATTAATAATGATAATATCAACAACAACAATAATAAAAATAATAATATAATGATAACAACAATGAAAATAATGATAATAAATAACTAATAATAATAATAATAACTTTATGTACAGTTGGTTAAATGAGAGCCCTGACTTTCCTGAACCCAAACTCCTTTTTTAATTAGACGGTTATCGTGTTTTGTTTTGTTTTTTGGCTTGGTGTGTATGTGGTTTCAGGTACTTCTGTAACCAGCCTCTAGTGGACACTCTGGGAACTGCAGGTTTTAGTATTTAAGAAAAGGTGGTGAGGTGTTTATAACCGTGTCACCTGCATAAAAATGAACTGTACTTTTGTGGCGATATTACACGAATTATTGAAACAAATGGTTTCCAATATCGGACCCAAAACAGAGCCTCAAATGAGCGTAATGCAGACCTTCAACTTTGACATGTAGTTTCATGTTTCTATGGTAACTGTTGAACCACCGAACTGTTTGTTTTTGGTGAAATCTTCACGTTAGTTGGTCACTGTTTGAGTTAGTGGCACTTATGATCATTTAGGACCTTCAGTGATGGTCCTGTTTTTTTACTGTGAACTCAGACTGCAGGTTGTTTCAATCAAACGTAGATTTATTTGGTTATATATGTTTGCAGATTTCCTTATGTTCACAAACACTAAAATAAAGACTGGAAAATCTAAGAAACCAAATTTGCTGAATGCAGTCTCCTGCTGAACAGTCACATCATACATATAAACCTGAACATATAACGGAGCGTGATCAACCCCTTATGAACCATGTTTTCTTTATTTAACTTAATGTCAGGGTAACGTGACAGTTAACATGGCAACCATTTCCACTGGAGTTGTGGTGGACTCTGCAGACCTCTTGGTATTCGCACAGAGTCCCTGGATTAGCGTGTTGAGTGATTACTGAGTGACTGTGAGGAAAATGAGGTTTTTATTATCCTATTTATTATATTTAATTCTTTTAAAAATGCCGTCAGTGTCACAGCTCTGTGTCGATGTCAGGAGGATGATCTGAATCCAGGGTGAGAATAAGTTCCTGTAACATCTCTCACAGTGAGAAGTTCTCACCTCTTTCCAATTTGGTGTAAGATCTGCTCTCTGAACACAAACCCGCCTCCTGACCAGAGGTGATAACACGGAGCATGTCCAAAGATGTAGCCATGCTTACCAATACATTCACACCTTACACATCATCTATCTGCCTGTGTCTCTCACTCCACACCTCCAACACACACTCTCTCTCACTCTCACACACACACCACACTGCATTCAGTCACTCCGATGAGTATTGTGTGGTCAGATCCCACTGCTGTGTGTGACACACTTTATGAGGCTGCTAGCTTTTAAGTGGCCTTTAAAGACGTTGCGCAGGGCCATTAGTAGCACTTCACTGTAAAACTACATCATTTAGGGAGCTGATTCACTGAGTTGAGCCTGTGCTCTTAAAGACTGGAGTTACAAGTTGTTCTGAAAGAAGGTCTTTCCTCTCTGAAGTGGACTTTTTGAGTGTGCATGCTCTTGTTTCTGCATACAGGTGTATACTTCTCATGTGCATCTGTGTCAGAGATACAGATCTATATTTGAGAGAAGTAGAAGTGAACAAAAAGCCCGGCCAGGCTTTGCTCGGGGTGACCGTGTGTCTGCATATGCTGCATGCCCATCTCCTGGCCCCACTACCGTGCCCTGGGGTCCAGCTGACCCACCCATGGGCGTGGTAGTGGGGGGGAAAGTGGATGAATCAGCGCTTCAAACACTCTCAGTCCATGAATGAAGACTTGCGTGCGCGGCACTGAAGGGGTTAAAATGACTTGCTGGTTCAATCTGTTGTATCACTGTGGGAAAGTCAAGTTTAGAGCCCTGCTGATCGACTGAGTGCAAAAAAAGGTTGTCATATGTTGTTATGGAGACGTAAACACACACTCAAAAAAACTGTTTTTAATGGAAGTCTATTGGCCGATTTGCGGACAAAGGAGGGTGGGTGGAGCTAAAATGCAGCAACAGAGAACTCGCTGCGGTTTTAATAACCTCTGCTTGTCTGAGCTTGAGATTCTAAAATTCACATCGCCGCTCCTCTATCTGAAATGTAGAAAAACTGGATAACCCCTCCCAGATCTGATCAGGTGTTCAGTCTGAGGATGGGTGTAACCAACATATACTGGGGTGACTCTGGATCAGAGCTCAGACCTAGAAATAAAACTCAGTCAGTCGACGTCGACAGCGAGTGTTGAAATGGCGCAGAAAGATCTGGAGGAGAGTCGAGGAAACATCCAGCAGAGAATCCAGGACAGAGAAGAAGATGTGAAGCTGCTCCAACAGGAGGTGGAGGCTCTCAACGGCTCTGCTGATAAAGCTGTGGAGCACAGCCAGGAGATCTTCAGCCAGCTGATCCGTCTGATGGAGAAACGCCGCTCTGAGGTGGAGCAGCAGGTCAGATCCCAGCAGGAACGTGAAGTGAATCGAGTCAAAGAGCTTCAGGAGAAGCTGGAGCAGGAGATCACTGAGCTGAAGAGGAAAGACGCTGATCTGCAGAAGCTCTTACTAACAGAGGACCACAACCAGTTTCTGCACAGCTACCCCTCACTGTCAGAACCGGGTCAACCTGCAGACTCACCCAGAATCAACATCCGTCCTCTGAGATACTTTGAGGAGGTGACAGCAGCTGTGTCAGAGCTCAGAAGGAAAAACTCCAGGATCTTCTGACAGAGACGTGGACAAACGTCTCACAGGCAGTGACTAAAGTGGATGTTTTACTGTTAGAACCACCAGGACCAGCAGAACCCAAGACCAGAGCTGGTTTCTTAAGATATTCACAAAGAATCACACTGGATCCAAACACAGTAAACAGACATCTGATATTATCTGATGGAAACAGAAGAGCAACAAGGACAAGAGAAGAACAGTCTTATCCTGATCATCCAGACAGATTCACTTATTATTATGTTCAGGTCCTGAGTAGAGAGAGTCTGACTGGACGTTGTTACTGGGAGGTGGACTGGAGAGGGGGCGGGGTTTATGTAGCAGTCGCATACAAGACTATCAGGAGAGATGGGAGATCAGATGATTGTTCATTTGGAAGAAATGACAAATCTTGGAGGTTAGTCTGTTCTAAAGACAGTTATGGATTTGATCACAACAAAGTCGGCACTGATGTCTCAGGTCCTCGGTCCTCAACAGTAGGAGTGTACCTGGATCACAGAGCAGGTATTCTGTCCTTCTACAGCGTCTCTGAAACCATGACTCTCCTCCACAGAGTCCAGACCACATTCACTGAACCGCTACATGCTGGACTGTGGTTAAACTGGTCTGTTGGAGACTCTGCTGAGTTTGTAGAAGTGAACTAAAGAGAATTTTGAGTCCATCAGACCAAAATCATGGACTGAGATCCTTGAACTCTTGAAATGTTCTGGTTTGTAAATGTTTGTGGATCAGTCTCACCAAAAACTCTGGGTTTAGTTCTTCATTTCAGCTTTTTGATTCTTTTCTAAAGATGCTGATTTGGTCGCAGCTTTAAGGACAGTGATTGTGGAGAACTTTGATTGTTTGTATTTTTCATGTTGAAAAATCTTCATACAGTTTGATATCAACAACATCAAGATGATGGTTTGTTCAAATCACCTTCAGTTGGTGCAGATGTTGAAGGTCTGAGACTTTAGAAAAAAGTGAGGTCAAAATCACAGAAAAAGGATGACCTTATTTCCTGTCCCAAATCCAAGCGTCTAAAGTCTTTCCAGTCGTCCCCAAAAACTCTTCAGATGATCTGTTTCTTTCTCTGTTTGCTGAATATTTGTGTTCATGTGATCGATGGATATTTCTGTCTGCTTCTGTTGGATCAGTGTGTTTGTAAAGACATCTAGAATCAGACTTTGGACAGATCTACATGTTGTTATGAGCTTTTCAATCACTCTAATAATAATAATCACATTTATTAGTCCGACTGTTTGGATGTTTCTGACTCAGCTCAGATTGTGGTCAAGTCTCTGGTTGTGGGTAAAAAAAAAAAACAATAAAATTCATGAAACTGAGTCACTGAAATCACCTCGCCTGTTTTTCTTGCAGTTGAAGCCGAGTGTCATCACAGCGACTGTCGGCGACTCTCCCACTGAGTGCGTACAACGCTACTGTGCAATGTTGGTTTCAGGAAGTGGAGAAAAAGTCACAGAATTACTGAGAACTTTTGGGCTTCAAAGTTTTCCATATTTATACAGTCTGTGGGTTCATGTTATAACCGGTCTGTGTCTGAAAGTATATCGACACAGAAGGACGTTGCTGCAGTATCAGCGAAAAGTAACCGCGGTGAAGTTAGTTTAAGGTTGGATATTCGACAGACAATCAACGGTGAATGTCCATCGAATATCCAACCTAAAACTAACTTCACTGCAGTCGAAAAGTAAAGAGTCTGACCCTCAATTTTCACCGTCCGCCAATTCCTACTAGATCTGTTAGTGAGGTGAATTTCGTGGCGGATTACGGACAACAGGAATCCTGAGAACTCGCAAGAACCCTGTGGATTCACGTTCAATCTTGTGATAACAAGTTGTCTCTATAAAGACAGACACATAGACATATAAGCAGTAGATTGTGTCCTTCCAGAGGAGGAAATCTACTTCTAGACTTCTAGAATCAGCATCTCCTCATCCATGGTGTCATCGGGGTGAAATGACGTCTAAAAACCTTTCACTTGTTCGTCAATCGTGTTTTATTTTGAAAAGAAGCCGGATGTTTTATTTTGTGTCTGTGCCCGACTTCCTTTCCAGCACGGGTTAATCTGTGCTGAATTTATCCGCCATGCTCCGGCGTCCAGAAAACATAGAACTCTTGTGATCAGCTGAGGAGTCCGGCGATCCGCAGAGGAACGGAAAGAAGTCGGTGTAAATTGACACGTTAACTTGAATGGTTAAGATCAGCTACGATCGGAGGAGACGACCTTTTAGGAGACGATCAGGATGAAGGTGGAGATTAAGGGTTCTCGTGATTCCCGGTGTCTGTAATCCCCCATGAAATTTTCCTCACAAATGGATCAGGTAGGAATTGGCAGATGGCGAAAATCGCCGCTGTTCCGGATGTGATGAAAATCGGGGGTAAAATTTTCCATTTGACTGGAGTTGTTTTCCTGTAACCTGCTCCAAAGATAAAAACAGTTTTCGACCGTGTTTCATAAAAACCATAGAAAGTCTCTATCTGTTTCAGTAGACCAGCTAGGCGCTCCACAAAGGCCACCTTCTACCACATGAGACCAGGTTGTTAATGACCAGTACTCTTCCTCTGGAGGACATCTGTGGTAGCAGCCATCTCCACCCACCTCCCACCATCCTCAGTCTCTCCATCTCCGTCCACAGCAGCAGCAGCAGCAGCAGCTCTCCACTCCCGCCCGAGGCCACGGCTGACTTTCTCTGCAGTTTTCTGTAATATAGCACAGAGTGCAGACGAGCCACCTCCTCCTCAGAGAGGCGGGTGTGCTAAGGTTGACCGGTTTAACAGCTGCTGGGTGATACACAGAAAGTCATTTGTTAAAATCTAATTGATCGCTCCATTTGCACCCGACACTCTGTGGATGTTCTGTCAGCTGGGTGAGCACGAGTGAAGAACAGATGCTGTCCATCTTAGAGAGAAAGAAAACTGCTGAGGACACGATGAGACGCAGAGTGAGTTTACACGGAGGTTAAAGAGAGAGAGAGAGAGAGAGAGAAACTGATTATTGGAAATGGAAAAAAAACTTCCTCCTGGATGCCCTTCCAACAGATTAAACTCAAATTATGAGCTCTGTCTGCTTATTGTGCACTAAATGTGTAAAATATGATCACATCTCCATAGTTATTTTTTGTTTCATGTGTGTTTCCTGTTTTATTTTGATACTCACCTCTGTGTCTCACATCAGATCCTCCACTTCCTGTCCTCTTGTGTTTCCAGTGTGTGATTAGCTGCGCGATTGCACGTGAATCTGCAGGTTCTTGTGAGTTCTCGCGATTCCTTGTGTCCATAATCCAGCACAATATTTGCTTCACAAATGGATCCGGTAGGAATTGGTGGACAGCGAAAATTGCTGCCATTCCAGATCAGAGCTATTTCAGATGAGGTGGAAATTCAGGGATAATGTAGCACCTGAATGCCCTTCCGGTGAATTTTGAGTGATCAGATATCCTTTATTACACAGAATCCATTCAGATAACCTGCAAAATTTTGAGCAAAGTTTAAAATGAGGTTGTTGTTTAGATTCATTTTAATGTTAAATGAACTTATTGTATGATCCGATTGACATTTAAAGGCGGCGCCACTTCAGAAACGTACTCTGAAATCCACTCGCTTTGTGAGACCGACAGCTCTGAAAGTGTGACCTTGTTTTCATGGACTCAGTAATGAAGCTGATGTGTTAACAAACATGAACTGACGAGGTTTCTCATGTTTTAAGATCTTCATTTCAGTTTCATGTGATTATATTCATGCTCTCTGTTTGTCTTCTGCTCCGTTCACCGACTCTTTTCCTTCAGACACTATAGAAACCCCCTCAGTAACCCTCATTACCGAGACCTCTCTCTGTTTCATTTTCACCTCCTCACTGGGACCAGACTCTGTTATCCCTGAGCATTATCTGCAGCTGAGTTCTCACCATAACACCTATGTACTAACACCTGCACCTGCTTCAAATGCACTGGACCCTCTGCAGCCTCCGAGGGGGTCCTTGGGGTGCAGCTGCAAAAGCTGACCGACCATGTGAAAACAGGGCCGAGGCCATGCCTGCGGTCCCTGCACCTCGGAGCCGTGCAATTATTTCAAATCAAAGCAATCAGCCGCCAACCCGGAGCGCGATTCTCACCCGCTGAGCCGCGACACACGGGTCTCTATCAGCACTCGTCCTGACGCCGCCCACCTCCGTCTCTCACCTTGCTCTCCCCGTCACCCTGACCCCAGTCCTTATATACCACCACACACCTACATATTATCATCAGCTGTAGATCGCACATGTTGAGGATGTAACAGCCACACACACGCGCGCTCAGAAGGAGGCTCTCGCTCCCTGAACATTAGTGGCGGAGAGAGCGAGCAGCTAATTATAAAACCACTCTGGGTGCCTGGTTGTTCCTCGGCGTGGCTGCTGTGTCGCTCCATGCAGAGTGGGGAAAATGAGCCTGTCAGCCCACTCCCAAACTGCTGTGATGAGTGCAAATGAGGTAAGGCCCTGGAAGCCTCTTGGGGAGCTCCATGAGGGACGGTGCTGCTGGAGGGTGTAAACACACACACACACTCGTACACACACACACACATGTGAACATGAAGCACACACCGACGGCTCTGATTTGTAAGCTGTCAGGCAAAGTGGGTCGATATGTGACAAGCCAGTGGGACTTTCAGTTCCTGGTGCCAGCCTGCACAGTGTGATCAACCAACAGGTCTCTGGCACGCTGGAGGCTGGGTTCACTCACCCAAAACTGCACAAAAACATCAAGTGCAACCTCAATTCCAAAAAGATGGGACACACCGAGTAAAAATGTTTATAAAAATGGAGAATGAGGATTCGCAAATAATTCAAACTTTATATTTGATCAACATTGGTGCAGGATGTTGTTGTTTCATGGAAATACTCATTTTATATCTGATGCCAGCAAACATTTGGAAACAGATGAGACAGGGAGATGTTTGCTATCATGTTGCATCAGCTCTTCTTTCCACAGACGTTTGGCAGCTGAAGAGACCAGCTGAATGTGTTTTTGAAAGTCCTGTATCAGCACCACAGTTCAGGGTCTCCTTTGGTCCTGGTTTTGGGGTCATGATGCTCCAAATGTTTCCAAGTCAGGACCGCATCAGTCCAGGACTCTTCTCCTACAGAGCCATGCTGTTGTCAGAATGTGGTTTGGGATCATCTGAAGGTCTTCCCTAAAAGAGTCTTTGTCAATTCTTTGTTGAAAGGACAACTGGACTTACTTGAGACGAAACGTCCCAAGTAAGTCCAGTTGTCCTTTGTCTGTGTCGTCAACATTTGAACATTTTTGAGCGGTCCGCTCTTTCTGACTGTAAACAAAGCCGTTCTCCACCTCCTCTAACCTGATTGGTTGTGAGGCAAATGCCGCTCCCCCGTGTCGTTCAGGAGCCCAAACAAAGTTAGCGTGCTACAATATCGGACAGTAGAAACCAACCAGAAAGTTCGGAAAATTGTCTGAATCCTCCTTTGGCCACGACTGCCGACACAAGCAAGAAAACAAAGTAAATACCGGAGACTCTGGAGGAATAACGGGCGCTTAAAACGGAGGTAGAGCGGACAAGAGCTAAAAAGCCGGGTCAACATAAACCATGGGGGACGCTTGGGGATCTTGGTGACCCTGTAACCTTTCTGCTGGACAGGTAAACCGCTTTAACAAAGTAAGACAAGTGTCTGTAACAGAAGTGTTTCTTGTCAAACGGACCTGCTGTAGCGTGTTGTAGCGCCATCGCTAAACTGTCCTCCCTCGGGTCCTGGACTATGTCACTTTATCCTCGTTGTAGAAGTCCTGCAAACATTGTGTTTGCTGGTAGTCTGTTGGCATCTACAGTAGCACCAATGCTTTTGACTTTCACCTTGACTGGGCCCCATTTGTAATGATCTGAAGTATTTATCTGCATTATATCTGAATTTAATTGGAACAATACGAGCGAGCAGGAGCGTCTGTTTGTGGGCGGGGCTTGCTGGAGCAGAGGGGAAAACTGGTTGGGAGGGGTAGAGTTTACATTCAAGATTTCTCCTAAAAACTGGAACTTCCTCAGATCCTGACTACACCGCCTTTAAGGTCAGCAGCGTAGTTGAATGTTGGTCGTAGTTTGAGGCAGAAACAGTAAATGAACAGAATTTTTCTGCTTGACTTGATTTGAAAATAAAAACAGACTTTTCCTGAGCTCCTGGGTGATGACGGTCAGGGGCAGCCCCCCCCCCCCCCCACTCCACTGAGACAAACTTGTGACAGGAACTTTGAGGAGCACCCCTGATTTTCCCCTCATTAACTCCCACCAGCGTCTGAGCTCGTTTCAGAGACGCCGCCTGTACGCTCGCCGTGATCACAGCCTCACATGGGCGCAGGCTAGACACCCTTTGATTCCACACTTCTCCCATCCCTCTCTTTTCATCTGCATCCCTCCCCCCTGCCTCCCTCTCTCTGGTGGAGTATTATTAGCGGCCTTACAGGTTTTTTTAATTTCATTTTAGTGATTGACAGCCGAGGTGATACCTCCCCTTCATTTGCATATTCTGCCGTTTACTCCCCGTTCCTGCCGTTAATGGCGGTGATTCCCAGAATGCCGCTCCTGAATTAGTATGCTCCAGCCTGGGAGTCAGGGCTGCTAATCAGGCTGTTGGTGCGAGGAGAAGGACAGCTTCAAATTACATCCTCTGCAGTCAACAGGAGGTGCACATGAAAGTGCGACGTCCTGCCGCTTTTCTGCGAGCTGAGGAAGTTTGCAGATCGACAGTGACAGCACCCCGCTTACCTCTGAGACACCCACAAGAGCATCTCCAATTAAAAGCCTCCTGTGATTTCCTCGATTAATAATAAATGCCTCTGAGCTCGACGGAGCTGTGATTGGTATGTGTCTGTGAGACGTTTTAGTACATGTACACGTTTAGATTTGCACCTTCAGAGCGGAGTGCGGTTGCAGTGCATGTGTGCATATATCTCTTTTTTCCAGGAGAGCCTTCATACGCCTGCTCCTCTGATGTGCATCCACTGCGGTGTTTGGTTTCATGTGGTCTCCACCTCCTGTCTGTGGTGGTAGTTACCTCATAATCTCCACTGGAAAGCCATAACGTGTCTCTGTGGAAACTGAAGACGCCACATTGGATTTCAGGAGGAAATCTGAAGAGGAGCCTCTCCTCTCACCGCTGGGGTAGATGCCGGGAAGCAGGAGCCGGTTTTCCAGGAAAAACGTGTCGTTCGAACGTTTTGTTCCCTTTCTGCACAAACACCAGAAACACCTACAAGTCTTTATTTAGGGGCAGACTTTGCGATTGCGAACTTGATTGCAGATTACGGGTTTCATGCCAACCTTGTACTTGAATTCAGAAAAGGGCGACATGTAGAAGTTTGAGTTCGCAGAACAGAGCTGCACTCCCAATAACAATAATTGAAAAACTGCGCAGGTCAAAGCTTTTTCGGGGTAATTTGCACTTATGAAAGGAACCAACCAGCTGCAAAGAAACTCCTCCATAAATAAGTCTTGAAAATGTTTTCACAGAGGACAATGAGGCTGTCTGGTGAGGGCATGGTGTCAAAATGACTCATCTACCTGCTCGCACCGTTTCTCATTTAACAACGCAGTCCATCAGGGTGGCGTGTCTTAGCTACTCAGGCTGAAGCTAATGCATCCTGATTGCTGGTTTATTTACATCCTCTATCACTTCAGCGCAGCCTTTTGTATTCAAACGTCTCCGAGTGTCTTTCAGTCACTCCTCCACCTCTCCATTCTGCAGATTCAACTGATTTCGCTAATGCCTCCAGGACTTAATCAATATGCATGACTTAAGGTGTCAGTTATCAACACGCGGGTGGTTTTTCAGGCAACATTATCCCTCCCTGCTGCTGATTTGTACCTGAATAATGTCGTCTATGGATCGGTGCTGAGTGCACGTGGCAGGTAATCAGCAGACATTCACTGTGCGTGTCAGGCGAACGGTGAAATTCATCCCAGAGGCCCAAAGGGTAAGATGCACATTTGTGACCACTGCATGCTGTAGGACATGAGGACAGCTGTGACAAACACTGGTGATAAATGGAGAGGGTACGACCTTGGAGGACATTCCCCTTCTGTGCGGGGGGAAAAATACAGATATGTTACTTTAGCTGAGCATGGACAGGTACTTTATCGGCATTATTTGAAGATGTACAACAAAACTTTAATTGGCAGCCTAAATGTGTTGGAAAACAGAAGCATAAAAATGTGTATTTCTGTGTCTATAACTGAATCAATTTGTAAAATGAGTATCAATGTAAATACTAATATTTTAAGGTTAGGAGCTAAAAACATGTTTACATCTGACCCACTGAAAAGACGTCCAGAAAAAGACATGATAAGGGCCTTTTTGTTCACATTGGGGGACATCCAGAGGGCGCTTTATTTATATTTTATCAACCTGAAAGGCATCCAGAGGGGCACTTTGTTTATATTTTGTTCTACCAAAAGGCATCAGTCAGTATTTTGTTCCAGTTTTATACACTTGAAGAAACAGCTTGGAGGGACTTTGTTTATATTCAATCCACTTTAAAAGACACATTTTTTTTATTTACTGGTAAGGGCACTTTGTTTACATTAGACAAACCACAGAGGCAAACAGAGGGGTACTTTGTTTACATTATACAAACTACAAATCAATTAGACTCTGAATCTTTGAGTTTTAGACACTCGCAGGATATCCAGAGGGCACTTTTTTAAAGTTTAGTCCACTTTGAAGGCACAAAGAGGGCACTTTGTTTACATTTATCAGCTGTGGGGGATCCAAAGGTCACTTTGTTCACATGTCCAATGACAGAATATCTAAAGGGCACTCTGTTTACATTTCTTCTACTGTAGAGAGGGGCGCTTTGTTCACCTTGATTACCCAGAAGGACACCCAGAGATCACTTTGTTTACATACAAATGTGGAAAAGCACCTTTTGAGATCATTTTTCATGTTATAACTACAGTAAGTTCACCGGAGAGTGTGTTTTCAATGTTAATCTGGTGAAAAAGTGTTTCAGAGGACACTTCTGTGGCCTTTTTCAGACATAAGGACACCAGAGGAGGTGATCACCCCCTTCTTAATATCTTTAGTACACTGCTGGGACCCATAGGGATTCTTTGGCTTATGAAGACAGCCTCAAGTTGACCTTAGAGGAACCGAAGCTCTTCGCACTTTGGCATCAGCTACATTTTTCAACACTGGAGGTTCCTGTAAACTTTCCAGCTGAAAAAAAAAATACAGACTGTCACTTAAATAGCTGGTGCCAGTGCCTCTGCCATCTCTGACTCACTCAGACATTGAGAATCGCTGTATTCTTGACAGGGATTTTAAAACTCAATGTAGTACTTGAGTGCTGTAATGGCGTCTTACTACAGTTACTTAAATCCTCTGCCTGTAGCCGTTCATCCTCATTACTTGTCAATCACACGTTCAGTCGTCTGGGCTACATCACGCTTTCGTCCAATAATATCAGACTCAGCACACCTGGAAGAGAAGCAGCCACAATTATAAAGTACAATAGACGTATACAAAAGGATTCAGCGACAACAAGAACAAATCTGTAACACCTCCTCTGAGCTGATATTCACTCCGACAGATGTACCGTGAAGAAATGACTTCCCAGACCTCAATTACAGAGTTGGACATGAGCAGAGATGTGAAGAAATTACAAATCAGCCTGTTGTTGTTTGTCCTTATTACCAGACGATGTGAATAAAGACGTTGGATGGGTTTAATTTAGCCTGTCACTGCTGATCTGGGTTTACAGGAAATCAGACTTAGCAGAGTGATGCTGCAGTCTGCGGGGATCTCTGCCTGTTTCAGACCAGAATAGGTAAGTCCTACTGCAAGAGGTGGGAAATAAACTGCAGAGGAGAGGAGGCTGCAGAGAGGGATAATATCGCTGTTTTCTTAGAGAACAGATCGACAGACGTTCATCGTACTTAAAGGAACCCTTATTTATAAAACCTCCTCCTGCAGCTGTCAACAACCCATCAAAGCACCAATGATGGACTTAGAAAGTGAGTCAAATCAACGCCAATTTTCACATTCATACTATTTTCTATTTAAAAAAAGAGTTTCTATATTTAATCCAAACATAAAAGAATAAGAAACATTGAAAGAACTTTTACTGGTAGAAAACCTGGGCTGCAAAAACATTGACCAATGGGAGCCATCCGTCCCAGGCAGCTCCTATTGGTCAATCTCCTGCTCCGCCTCTCCATCCAATCACCTCGCTGTATTCGACACACCCCTCTCCCGTAGTTCCGACTCGTCCCCTCCCACTCTCCCGGCCCTCCTCGGAGCTGTGATGGTGAAGGACGCTAAAAAAACCACTTCGGCTCGCCCCACCGCCAAAAGAGGGAAGAAAATGCAAACCGACAGATAAAAAGGGTGGAGACAAAGAGGAAATGTGACCAAGCGAGGAATCTAGCTGGAATCTACATCGGGTCATCCTTGGAGCGGTGGAGAAAACAGACGCCGTGACAGCAGAGTTTTCGTTGAACAGGTCATTTTTATCTCCTCCTATCATGGCTCATGTTACATAAATAACTCTGATTAGTCTCTGACATGTCAACACGGTAGCTGTCCAGGCAGCTGCAGACGGCGCTCGCTAGCAGAGCTGGCGTTTACTGCTGCTAGTCACTAACAATCCGACATGGTGAATCCTATTTGAAGCTAGCGTAGGATCTTCTGCCAGCCGGCTTCTTGATCTGACAGAGGGGGTGTGTCGTGGCGAGGGCGATACAGGTTTGGGGGGGGCTGGACGCTTTTTTCAGATCTGCCTCAACGGCTCAGTTTTTTTAACTGCTTCTCAGATCATCAACCAGGACTTTAATGCACGAAACTCAAACTTGTTCTGTGAACGGTTCGTTTGCACCGACAGCGATCTTCTTCACCAAATGAGACATTTGACATTTGGAGACGATGCAGCAGCAGCAGCATCATATTTAGTCCTATTTGGATATTTGAATGCTACAGTTTTATACCCGAACAGCAGGAGCTGGACGTTTTGATGACCATGCCTGAGAATAAAAGCCTCTGCAATCCGACTCTAATTTCAACAATCATACAGGGAGAGGAGAGCTGTGAAGAAGACGACGCAGGGATGGATTTTGTGAGCTGACGGAGCTTCAGTGGAGCAGAAATAGCCGAGCGATGGGGGGCCACGACTCTCACAGCGGCTCTAACTTAAAAATGTCTTTCCTCCTACAGTATATGTGCTGAATACACAAGGTTCACACTCTGATGTCAGGGGACTACTGATTTACCGGGTCCAACACCAGTTTGAGGGAAAGAGGGCTCTCCAGAGGACTAAATTACTACACTCATCATAAAACGCCTCCTGAAATGTACTGAACTGAAGACATTGATAATGAGGGTACTAACTCGGTCAAACCAGTAAGTCATTTCTAGAAGTTCCATAAGCTCTTATTATGCCTTTTTTATAGCGCTGTAAAAAGATATCTAGCAATTAAAAACGACAGAGCTTTATCTTTTTCTTCCCAACACTATAAAGGCAGAAAAAAAACAGACTGATATTGAAAGCCAGAGGTCAATGTACGCAATCACACAACTGAAACACTGGCTTTAATTGGCTGCCTGCGCCTTTACAATGCTGCTGTTCCCAAAAGCTACAATAGATTAATTAAATTTGTTTCATTTGTTAATTAGTTCAGTTTTTTACCCAGCGTCTGTACCATTTTAAAAGTCAGTTTTAAATGATGCGTACATGTTTTAGTCCACCGGTTCTTCTTTTATTCTCCTCATGATAACTCCACATCTATCCAAACCCTCGACCAGACTCTGATCATCCAGACCCAACATGCTGCCTGATGATCCTAATGAGAGAAAAGTCGATATGAGTGTGAACCTGACACAGAAAAAACACAAAACCATTTACAAAAACAAGAACGAGTTGTCTACTCGTCAAAATCTACAAAAAAAATCCTCATTTTACTCCCTCATCTGTTTGAGATTTCAGAGGAATGATCAAGGCCTACCCTTAAAACGGCGCCCCCTGTGGTAATATATGGTACTGATGTAAACAAATGCTGTCTAATGGGGCGCTCACACCAAGCGCGAATAAAATCATCTGCTCGCTAGACGCGCGAATGAAAAGTATTCACTCGCTTCATTCGCACGTCAACGGTAATATTAACAGTAATCCCTGATGATTGAACCTGCGGGATCAAGTGATGGACAAAGTTTTTTATAATTTACCAGGTAATCCGACCTCCTCACTCACTTTTTATTCACGTTTTGTTAATTGGTAGAAAAGGTATCATATAATTTGTGGCGCCCACACAACGACACGATCAGTTTGTCCTCTATTATAGATACCAGTGAACAACCGTCCGTTTTAATACATCACCAGGCAACCTTGGTGCTGATTGGTTATCGTGACGTGAATATCCGCTCAAGTTAAGAAATGATCAGCTCCCGCCCAATTCGCGTCATTCGCGCCGTCAGAGAAGTAGGAGCGTCTAATCGCGTCTTTGCATTGACTTAACATGTAATTCATTCGCGCGAATGATTTTACTCACACTTGGTGTGTGGAGACAGTATTACAAAATAATTTAAAGACCAAATTTTTTTTAGGTCTAGTGAAAAAATAATATTTAGTGCGTAAATCTTGTTAAATATTGGTTTAAAATAGCTCTTAAAATCCTAAAACAGCGCCCCCTATCGAGGTTCCTTTCCCCTACATGTTTACCCTGCACCTGTATTCTAAGCTCAACAGGAAGTCAGCTGTTTTGTTTTTAAGGTCTGATCGCCCAGATTTAGTGGATGAATATTTAAACAAACTTGTCCGAGTGACGCCCGATGAATTAAAGACACGACCAGATCAAAAGTCGTCGATAAAGTTGCTGATGTCAAAAGATCGTCCCTTCAGCGCATCAACGTCTGATGTCCAGCCTTGAAACAGGAAGTCGTATAAATGATAGAAACCTACCCTTGATTACAGCTATATGCTGGTCTTTTAACTGCAGATATAGCGCCCCCTGTGGTGAAACCTTATATCACATTTGTTCACTCCTATCTGCAGACTAGAAAAAGGTTACTACAGTTCTAACTTTTACCCCCCGCCTCAGTCACACCCGAGTTTTCAAACTCACTCCTGTTTTAGTATTTTTCTTTATTACCGGCTCGGCTAAATCGCTCTTCTGAAATGAAACTGAGGATTTCAGCGCTGCCCCTCCAGCTCTAATCGTTGCCATAGCTGTAAGATAAACCTTTAATTTAGCAGAAATTGGCGTCCTCAGCTGTGACTTTGACAGCGTGTCGTAGAAAAAAAAGAGTCTGCTCCTGTGGCCCTTGTTAGATGGAGACTCTCCGCACAGAGTCCTCTGCCGTCTTCTGGCGGGCTGAAGAGCGGTTTGATGTGACCTTTAATGGCTGGCAGGCCACGGCAGAGCGCAGGACTCATAATAAATGGCAGAACTGCAGCTGACCTTTAAAAAAACCCTCATATTGCATTAAGACCCTTTGATCACTCGGATTATCCACTTCTGTCTGGGGCTTCATTTGATCACTCTGACCGGGCGTCCTGCGCCGAGGTGCTGATAAAACCAAAATAACGCTCGCCGTGAAAAACACGCCGACTCCTCTGTAAATGTGTAATCTCCGCTCAGAGCGTATGTTTGTGAGGATTCTCTTTTAAGAATATTTTCAGCTGTTTGTTGACAGGTGAAGAGTCTCCTCTGACAGAGTAAAACAGACGATAGTAGAAAAAAGTCAGAGGTTATTCTCAATGACGTGAATGTCAAACACTCAACTTTCATGTCACTGAATCAATTAACATAAAATCTGCCCAGTCCTCCTTACTGGGAGTGAAACACGTCAACCCTGTCAGCCTCTGACGTTTATCTTACAGGTTTTTATTTAAAGACGAACGTATTTGTTGTTTTTCTGCACAGAACAGAACCGAGTGAATGAAAGAGACGCCTCAGAAATTCAGGGTTTACTCGAGAATATCAGGATGAAATGTTCAAAGTTTGATCAGATGAGAGGTCTTAAGTCTGTCTGTGATAATTCACTCGAACTCAAGCTCATGTTGACCTCCCTGTTTTGTGAGTTTGGGATGCAGAGATTGAGAGAGCGCTACAGAGGGTCATCTGCTCAGCCCAGAAGATCACAGGCTGCTCTCTGCCAACTCTCACTGCCTGAGCAGAGGCCTGTACTACGAAGCTGGATTTGGTCTTAGCGAGATAACTTCTGGATTTTCTGTACTATGAAGGTGGATCTCTTTTTATCCGGGTCCGTTGCCCCGGTAACTTACGCGGAACGCCAAACCTGCTCCGGAGCAGGTTATGTTTCAGGATAAGATCTCAGCAGGTATAAAAAACTGCCCGATGACCAATCGGATCTCTTGGAAAATGGCTTGCCCACTTTTGCCGGATCCCGGGGACATCGTTGCACGGATAGTGAGAGGAGCGCTTCGCCGAGAGCGTTATATTCATGATCGTTCAAATCCGTTTGATTTACCTGATGACGTTCTCTATGAACGCTACAGGTTTTCCTCGGACGGCCTCAATATTCAGGTAGCATGAAGTCTAAGCAATACACTGATATTTGCCAAGCTCCAGGTTCAAATTTCATGCGGCATTTCAGTCATCATTCAGAATTTATTGAAGAAGATTAGAAAACTCCTCTTAACCCCAAATGTGTCTGTAGATGACGTGACCATCAGATGATGGAGAAAAAAAAGGCAGTGTGAGGAAATTTCTGTTTACACGTTGAAATATGTACAAATAAAATCTTCCAATAAACTTACAAAGTACTTAAAAGGATGTTTTTAGATTTATTTTTATTTGCTCCCACCTACTCTTTTCCCCACTGCTGTTGTATCTGAAATAATGAGGTCATTGATGGAGGTGATCACACACGCTGCAATGACAACATATTACGGGGCCATAAATTTATGAACGCACAAATGTAATTTACACAACCGGTGATTTTTTTTGCCGGCAGTCCCTCCGGCTTTTAGCGGCTTTGTCTGTCTCACGGTTTAAATAAAGCTCTGTTCTTCAGCTGTGAAAAATGACGTGCAGCCTTCTCCATTGTGGAGATTGGTCCGGTGGCACTGACCCCACCCCCTTTACGTGTGCGCGCACAGATCTGAACTGGATTCAGTTATCGAGTTGATATCCTGCTTCGTAGTACAGCTGATCGGGATCGCGGAGATCCGGTGAAGTTGTCGCAGAGTTATCCTGGATTTGTTAATCCAGCTTCGTAGTACAGGCCTCAGAGCTGGTAACATCATCAAGGACTCCCACCACCCCGGAAAATCACCTGTTTGACCGTCGGGCCGAAGGTACAAGTGACACAAAACAAGGACCAACAGACTCAGGAATCGAGCGATCACTGCAGTCAACAACAACAAGTCCAGTTAAACCTGCTTCCCCTCAACCAACATATATACTGATCATATTGATCACAGTGCAATAAAACTGGGCTTCACTGTCCAATAATTGGGTTTTCACATCATATCCTGTATAGATCTGTATATATTACTGCCTCTTACACTTCTTATCTTTGTGTTTTTAGTGGTTTTTATGGAAATAGTTTTGCACCAAAGGGAGCGGCGCTCAAATCTCGTCGTACTGTTTACAATAACAATAATTCTGGTTCTGATATATGGCAGACAAATCGACAGAAACTTGGGCTCGAAAAGAGGAGACCAAAACAGACACGAGGAGACTGAAAAGATAAAAAAACAAAACCTCATTTCCTCAAACGAAAGAGGAGTGGAGGCTGCAGCCAAATGAACAAACAAAGGGAAAGTGGACTTCAATTTCTCCTCTTAAACTAACCTGTGCGAACAAACGACTGAAAACTCAACTTCTAATAACCTTCGACCTAAACGGAAACAAAGGACCAAAGTAATAAGAACCAAACCGTGGGAAACATCTCTGAGGGAAGAAGAAAGAGAGAGAGAAACCGAACTCAGAGGCGTTTTAACCGGACTACTACTGTCCCGGTTTATGAGCAGGTCGGTTTGACTGTCAGGTCACCTGATCCATTACATGTTGTTTTGTCACTTTGACCTTTCTCTGTATTTTTTTATCCATGTCGTTTCCTTCTCTGCTGCTATTTCTGACTTCAGCTGGTGTTTGTGGATGTCCACTGTTTCTTCACTCATTCTTACGTCAAGACTCAACCGTCCAACCAGATAAGTTCACGTGTGCATATCTTTAAATGTGACTGCAGGTTTTTCATACGACACTTGAACATCCGTGTTTCTTTGACACGACAGCTTTGGGGTTCAGATATTACGGAGGATTAATGGTGGGTGTGGTTGTCGGTGGGAGACACAACAGTAATTCCAGTTGAATATGATGCTAATTATGAGAATCCCCCCGGAGGCGTCAGGTGATGTTCTTGCACCAGGTGCTCCATCTTCCATCTCATTGCAGCCTGATGTCTCTGCCAAAGCTATCAGAAGCGGCGCGGCCTGGAATCAGAGTCAGTCAGGTGTGCAGAAGTGAAGCCGTGAGGGACCAGAGATGGATCAGGAGGACCTCTTTGATACGTCCCCTCACTCTCAGCCCCTCTGTCTTTAATATACAAATCACTGCTGTCCCATATGGACGAGGTAATTGACTCGGCGACTCAAAGGCAACCTGTCCACCTCCTGTGTGTGTGTGTGCGTCCCCGAGATAAAACATTAAAGATTATTCTGTTAATCTGCTCACAGACCTCCTCGCTCTCTCTGCACAGAAACTCAGCGACCCGTCAGCAATCCTCGCTGAGTGAAATGTGAAAATCTTCCCGTGTGCCATAATTACCACGTTACAAAGGGCCGTCTCAAATTACAATGGGAATAATTACTCTGCAATGGGAGTTCGAGCCGACCGTATACGTATATGTGTGTGTGTGCTTTTATGATGGCGGACAAAGACATACGTACTCAGATCGGCACCGTGATGACTTGTACAATTGGCTTAAATTATACCGCACTGGTGCGACATTATCTGAACGAGAGCGCGCACAGAAACGACACTGTGAACTTCATGAGGTGGGATATTGTGTGAAATATTTTTAAAAAGAGATTTAGAGCCGACGTTTCAATGAAATGTAGAAGCTGGTCAACTGTTCGAGAGTTGATACCGACCAAGAAACGCAGAAGCGGCAGGTTCAGTCTTTGTTTCTTCTTCTGGTAGTAATTATTGTAGAATCACAGCTACTGGGAAAAAAGGTTTCTTAAAGCCCCTCCAGAGTTCGGTTCCTGATGGTGATGTTCAGGCGGTCAGCTGATTCACGGCTGTCCAATAGACGACTGAGGGAACAATAAAAACTGTCAGTTTGACGTGTAAAAACATCTATTTTTTCCTTTTTCAGGCTGAAGGAGGATGACATCTGCCGCTCACACCTGTCTTATTAGTTTATTCAAATCAATGCTGAATGCTGTAATTAGAAAGTCCTCGTCCACGGTCGCCGCCCCCCCATCAGTGATTTATGTGATCCTCGTTTAATTGCAGGTTTGAGAAAAAACCCTCAGGTCACAGGAATCGGCAGATTGTGACCTGGACAGAAATTACAGCCGTGAATCTCACTCACCTTTCTTGTCCTCTCGCCACGTCAGTTCTGCGTCAAAGTGTCGTCAAGCTCACCCGAACATCCCGCTGAAAATCAGGTGTTGATGTCAGCCGTGTGAAATTATCTGAGGGGTCAGTTTATGAAAGTGAAAATGAAAGTGGAGGAGGCTGAGAGCAGCAGGTTCACAGTGTGTCGAAAGACTCCTGGACTTGGACTGAAGAAGTAGAACTCGAGCAGGAGTAATCTAATTAATTCATGAATTAACGACTTCGTCATGATGATGGTAATAAAAACATAAAATTCAGCAAATTAGGAAGACAGGTGTGTCGTGACGTGTCCTGATAATTTAGTTTTTCCCTGGTTTTGTTATTTTCTCTAGTGTTTCCTGTTTTATTTTGTAGGAGTTGATTCCTTGTGTTTCCTGTTTTATTTTGTAGGAGTTAATTCCTTGTGTTTCCTGTTTTATTTTGTAGGAGTTGATTCCTTGTGTTTCCTGTTTTATTTTGTAGGAGTTAATTCCTTGTGTTTCCTGTTTTATTTTGTTGGAGTTGATTCCTTGTGTTTCCTGTTTTATTTTGTAGGAGTTGATTCCTTGTGTTTCCTGTTTTATTTTGTTGGAGTTGATTCCTTGTGTTTCCTGTTTTATTTTGTAGGAGTTGATTCCTTGTGTTTCCTGTTTTATTTTGTAGGAGTTGATTCCTTGTGTTTCCTGTTTTATTTTGTAGGAGTTAATTCCTTGTGTTTCCTGTTTTATTTTGTTGGAGTTGATTCCTTGTGTTTCCTGTTTTATTTTGTAGGAGTTGATTCCTTGTGTTTCCTGTTTTATTTTGTTGGAGTTGATTCCTTGTGTTTCCTGTTTTATTTTGTAGGAGTTGATTCCTTGTGTTTCCTGTTTTATTTTGTAGGAGTTAATTCCTTGTGTTTCCTGTTTTATTTTGTTGGAGTTGCTTCCTCGTGTTTCCTGTTTTATTTTGTAGGAGTTGATTCCTTGTGTTTCCTGTTTTATTTTGTAGGAATTGATTCCTCGTGTTTCCTGTTTTATTTTGTAGGAGTTAATTCCTTGTGTTTCCTGTTTTATTTTGTTGGAGTTGATTCCTTGTGTTTCCTGTTTTATTTTGTAGGAGTTGATTCCTTGTGTTTCCTGTTTTATTTTGTAGGAGTTGCTTCCTTGTGTTTCCTGTTTTATTTTGTAGGAGTTGATTCCTTGTGTTTCCTGTTTTATTTTGTAGGAGTTGATTCCTCGTGTTTCTAGTTTGGTTTTACTTCCCTAGTTTTCCCTCCTTCGTTAATCACCCATCAGTCTCACCTGTGTCTCGTCTGTCTCACCTGTGTCTCGTTTCCCAGTCTGTATATAGTCCTTGTCTCCCCCTCTGTTCTTGTTGCTTCATTGTGTGTCTGTGTTTGTCTGTAGCTCGATGTCAGTGAACGTTTGGATCCCTGGTTAGTCTCCTTGTGTTTTTCTTTTGTTTTTTTCACTTGGACATTTTGAGAACAGGTTTTAGTTGGACTTTTTCTTTTTGCTGTCGTTTGAATAAATCTTTAGTTCTGTATTTTTAACTCCTGCCTCATCACAACGTTCCTTTGTA